AGAGGGGAAAGCGTGGGGGGGGGGGGCCCTACACTCCCATCACTTCTGCATCTCACCTGACCATTGCAATACTGCCGTTTCAAGCTTAGGAACAAAAGTAGGTGAGGGACGGAAAGATATCGCCAGCAGGACAGGAAGGCAGCGGCTGACATTTCGAAAGAAGATATGATGAACTTTCAAGTTGTCTGCAAGGCAGAAATAATCCTTGCGCGAGCTCTCTGTCTCTCTCTCTCTGCCTCTTTCCTTAGTTGTTCAGTTTGTTTGATTAAATCCAAGTCAGAAATCTAGGCCAGTTTATTTTTATTGGGCGATGTAGGAAGAAGGAACCCCATCCTCTCCCTTGCGTGCAGACGTGGGCATTCCCACACGTTTTCTACAAAACCCAAAAACAGGGTTGTTGTTGCCGCCGGTCCTTGGAATATTTCGGGACCCAAGAAGTAGGGCAGTGCCCAATGATGGCTGGTGAATGTGGGCAGGGGTGGGGAGGCAGGACTCTTAGACAAAAGCTCCCTTCCAGCACAGCTATTGTGTGTTGTCAGTCAGTCAGTCTTGATTATTACAGCTGAAGATCACTACGATCACAGATCAGCAACACGTGTGCTGTTTTAAGTCTGCTGCCTCCAAGCTATGCTATCCACGTTATGTCAGGGTCCCACAAGTCAACCTAACACAACCTTGCAGTCAGAAAGCACAACCTAGGAAACACTGGTTCCATTTCACAGCTGGGGGACATCAAGGCCGGCAGATGATATTTGTTTTCTGTGGTTTAATGATTATCATTTTATTTATGAATATTGGTAATTTTTTAATAATTTTGTGGATTTCCTTATGTTTTACCTACAGTTTTATTACACGCACCTCTTAGAAAGCTCTTTGATTCTCTCTTTATCTCAAAACCTTGCAAAGAAAAGCCCTGTGAAGAAATTCTAAAGGAGAAAGGAAGTGTAAAGATTATCGGTAAGTATAATTATTGAGCTGTCTTAAGCCTCTTATGTTAATACTCACCCTCTCTGCATCTGTTTCGTTATGTTTTATCATTAATTTGTGTTTTCAAAAAAGTTAAATAAAGAAATATACGGAAGGAAGCTCCTTGGTTAAGCAGTTCGTATATCTTTCTAAATAATTGTAATTATAGTTATTACTATTCAAGCATGAGATTCTCAGGGTAGGTGGGCAGGCCCAGCTGCAGATTTTGGAGGGCCCTGTGCAGGCTGTCTTTGGTTATCCCTCATTCCCCTACCCCTGACTAATGCCTGCCTCCCCATTTGTAGCAATGGCACTACAACAGCTCCACAGCTCACCTGGCAGCAGCAGCAACAAGATGGCCACTTTATGCACATGAAGGAGGAAATCTATCATCGCCAAGAGAAAAGGACCAACTAGGATAAATATTTGTACAAAAAATGTACATGTTGACATATGCATAGATGCAAATTTAGAATACACACACACACACACACACACACACACACACACTTAAATAGAAATACAACTCACCATAATGGGGAAGACTGACCCCGTGACTTGTGTTCCAGCTCAGTCTTCTCAGAAGTGATGGTCAACTTCAAGGCTGCTCCTCTCTGTTCTTATCCTTCTTCCTCTTCAAACCAGATTTGGGATTGTGTGGCCCTTCAAGCAGAGCACTCCCCGCTAACTGCCCTTCAAATACAGAACTGCACCCTGAAAAGTAGGACACCTGGTCACCCTAAGAACATGAGATGAGCTTTGCTGGATCCGTCTCAAGGCCGGTCCAGAATTCTATCCTCATGGTGGGATCTATGAGAAGCCCCCAAGAGGTGCATAAAGACCTCTCCCACTCTCTCTCTAGGCAGTAAGCGCCACAGTAGACTGGAAGCTAAACGCCTGCTTAGTTCTGACTGGGGCCTGGTGACCGCAAAATCTTATTTCCTACAACGTCATGCAAAATGGAATACAGTGGCCGCCATTGCGAGCTCACCATGAGAACACTGGCTGCCGCACTGCCAGGACCAACAGCATCCACACCCCTGAGGGTCTTGAGTAGTGCCTGAGGATGATGGTGAGGACCCAAGCAAGGCATCAGCCCTGGTGCGCTCTGACAGGGTATGTGGCCCCCAATGAGGCAGCAGTATGCTGGGCTTCTGGATGAGGCCCTCTTCCAAATGCTCCTCCAAGAGAGGTTTGGAGGGTAGTGAGAAGAGCCTTTGTGGTCGGGACGTGACCCCTCCATTTTTTAAAATGCTCTCCCCAGTGAGGCCCACCTGGCGTCCATCTTACTATGTTTATAGCTCCAGGTAAGACTGTACAGTAGTGATACCTCAGGTTAAGTACTTAATTCATTCTGGAGGTCCGTTCTTAACCTGAAACTGTTCTTAACCTGAAGCACCACTTTAGCTAATGGGGCCTCCTGTTGCCGCCCTGCCGCCGGAGCACGATTTCTATTCTCATCCTGAACCAAAGTTCTTAACCCAAGGTACTATTTCTGGGTTAGCGGAGTCTGTAACCTGAAGCGTCTGTAACCTGAAGTGTATGTAACCCAAGGTACCACTGTATTCTACTCCCAGACAATATCACTATCATTTTTTGGTTTAAATGGCCATTGCAATGCTTTCTGGTTTTCATGGGATGGTGTGGGTTTTACTACTGTAAGCTTCACTGGTTGCTATGGTTATGTTTAAAATTGTGCACAGTGGTACCTTGGTTTACGAACTTAATCCATTCTGGAAGTCCATTCTTAAACCAAAGTGTTCTTAAACCAAGGCATGCTTTCCCATAGCAGCGGGGGGGCTCAATTTACAGATGGAACACACTCAACAGGAAGCGGAACATGTTCTGATTCCAAGGCAAAGTTCACAAACCAAAACACCTACTTCAGGGTTTGCAACGTTCTTAATCCAAGTTGTTCATATACAAAGCTGTTCTTAAACCAAGGTACCACTGTATGTTCCCTACTGCTTGTAAGTCACCTAGATTTATTTGTTTATTTTCTAGAAGGTGTCTAAGAAATTGAGATGATGATGAAGATCTGAATTTTAGTTTGGAGATCTCAGTTGGATAGGATAATGTGCCTATTCTCTATTCTTAATGTGCCTATGGGTAACTTACCTCAGTTTCAGCTAAAATAACCTGAAAACCCAGCTAGTTTCTACAGAAGGCTTTGCTGTTACAGAGTAACGTATGTCTGCCCTGAGAAACCAAAGGAAAGCAATTCACACCACATCCTTTACTACAGGATCAGAGGTGCCATCTGAGGCAGGATGAGCAGGAGGGTGACACAGCAAAGCTGTCTTACAGTATTTTGAAGAAGCTAAATCATACACATGGCCTATCGGAAGAGTCAGGGTAAAGTACTACTTTCCCACACAATGCAGTTAAAACTATGGAACTCACTCCCACAAGATGTAGTGACGCCAGCTGTGTACAGTTCATAGCAGAATTGCCTTTACAGTGGTAGCTTGGTTCTCAAACTTAATTCGTTCCGGAAGTCCGTTCTAAAACAAAAGCGTTCCAAAACCAAGGCGTGCTTTTACATAGAAAGTAATGCAAAACAGATTAATCCATTCCAGACTTTTAAAAACAACCCCTAAAACAGCAATTTAACATGAATTTTACTATCTAACAAGACCTTTGATCCATAAAATGAAAGCAATAATCAATGTACTGTACTATAAAATAAGTAAGACAGTATTGTAGATGATACAAATTAAAATTAAATTATAGTCATTGTTTGGGTGGGGAGCTTTTATCCATTTCCGCAGTCACACAATCAATCAGTAGCTGAACTGGGTTTCACACAGTCACAAAAATGCAAAAAAAATAGCAAAAGAAAAAACACCAAACTTAATCCGTTTGACTTCCGAAATGTTCGAAAACCAAGGCGCAGTTTCTGATTGGAGCAGGCGCCCCAGAAACAATAGCCAACAGCCGCATCGGACGTTCAGCTTCCAAAAAACATTCGGAAACCAGAACACTTACTTCCGGGTTTTTGGCATTTGAGTACCAAGGCGTTTGAGAACCAAGGTACCACTGTATAGCAGAATTGAAGCGTATTCTTTTCGTCAAAGAATTCTGGGCCCTATAGTTGACTACCCACAGAATTACAATTCCCAGCCGCCCTTAAAAAAAACTACAGCGCCCATAATTATTTGAGGCGGTGAAACGTGCTTTGAATGTGCTTTAAAGGTATTGCGTGTAAGCAGCCTTGGGGTGGCTTGAAAGGAGGATTAGGCAAATTCAGAGAGGATAAATTTACTAATGGCTGCTAACCATGATTGGCTACGTTCCATCTCTACTATCGGAGATAGTAAGCCTCTAAATCCCAGATGCTGGGAATCACAAGTGGGGAGAACACACTTTTGCACGCATGTTTCCCTTGTGGGCTTGGCAACTGTGAGGATTGGATGCAAGACTAAATGGGCCTTTGACCTGAACAAGCAGGGCTCTAAGTCAGCGCCAGATTTAGGGTGGTGCAGGCAGTTCTGCCACACAGGGTGTCAAGCTGAGGGGCTGCAAAATCGAGATCCACAACTGAGAAGATCCATGCGGGAACTCACCACAAACGGCTGCCATGTTCTCTTCGGATGGAAATGGGGCCCACCTGAGAGATGCTAGAACCGAGTTCCAGCGAGGGGAAAAAAGCCCTGGAGAAGATCCACTGGGGTTGCCAGAGTTTGGCCTTCCATGGGGCACTGTATTACAGAAGGTCCAAAATCACTTCAGGATTTTTGTTACGGGGAGCAGGCCTTTTATTAGGGGGGCAGAACCTCAGTTTGCTATGTATCGTTATTGATTGGGGGGGCAGCTGCCCCTCCCTTCAAAACTTCTGGCTTTCCTGAGCCGATGCTGTATTATTCTAAATCACACGATTGGTCCTCATCCTCCCATTACTTAATATATCCAAAGAACTGTTGCCTTTTCGGTGGGAGGCCTGGAGGTGTGACTGAAAACCCCCGGAGCAACCCCCCCCCCAAAAAAACCTAGCTAGCGCCCGTGTTTTTAAACAGACACGTGCACATTTGGGGATCCGCTTTGCTCATCCTTTCTTGTTTTTAGGACGCACAAATTCCCCCGCAGTCGCTTTATGCGGCGGGGGCAATGCCCAGACGGGGGAGGGGGGCAAAAAGCAACAACTCCGCATCACCGGTGAAAAGCGCTTCGAGCATTTGGAAGCCGGTTGTGGGATCTCCTTCTCGCGCGATCCCCCCGGTCGGCCGCCAGGGGCCGCCTCGCTTCCCCGGTTCAGAGGACGCTGCTCTCCTCCCTTTCCTCTCCACGTGGTCGCAGATGGCCGCTTCCAGAAGCTGAGCCTGGAGCCGCCGCCGCCGCTACCTGCGGGGTGAGTGGGGTGGCGGGGGAAAGGACGCCTCAGGGGGCAGCGCCAGGGGGCGAAGGGGCGGGAGGGAGCAGTTTCGGCTAGAGGAAGGAATGGGCCGCCCGTTGCGGTGGGTGAGGCTTGGAGGAGGGGAGGCAAAAGGGAGGGCGGGGGAGAAGTTTACGGGGGGGGGGGGAATGGGGAGATCTCCCACCCGCCCCAGACAGCTGATTTATTTTTTTTAGAAAAATGAAAAGCAGCTTGGTTACGTGTGGGGAGAAGGTGAGACAAGGACAATAGAGACTTTTAAAAAGACTGGGAACCATGTATGCTGTGTTTACAGAAAGAAGTGGACTCACTAGCAGGGTTTGAGTAAACAAGTACAACCAGCAACATAGAAATTAAGATGTAAAAACTGGAAACTAACAAAGGGTAAGAGGAAATATGAAAACAAAAATGTTAAGAATATAGTAATATTCAAGTTGAAGATTTCAATATTAAGGTAGGATAAAACAAGCAGGGGAAGCAAACACTCAAAAGAACCAGAAAAGGAAGTTGAGGGAAGTCGGGGGGGGGTGGGTGGGTTGGGGATTTATATTCTGTTTTTGAGATAATGTTGATTGTGATGATGAAAAAATTGTAAAAGTTAATTTAAAACTTTTTTTAAAAAAAAGTGTGGGGAGAAGGTAGGGTGGAAACTCTGGGACTGAGCTAGCGGCTTTTGAGCCTTGGCGAGTGGGCTTGCTGGAAGGGGAAGAAGGGTCTGCCAAGGTTCAATCCCTGGATTCTCCTGGCAGGGTTGGGAGAAAGACCCGTGTCTGAAATCCTGGCGGTCTGCTGCCAGTCAGTGTAGACATTGCTGAGTTAGATGGACCGGTGGCCTGACCACTGATACTATACAGTTTCCTGTGTTCTTATGGAAGCATCTGGCTGGTGGAGTAGAGTGACCATCCTTAAGGAAGAGCCCTGTTGGGTCAGGCCAAGGCCCCAACTACACAATACATTTATAGAAGTGTCACATCGCTTTAAAGAGGCTTTGTTTTCTCCAAAAGAATCAAGGGAACTGTACTTTGTTAAGGATGCCGTGAATTGTTAAGAGATCCCCAACCACCTCACAGAACCAACAATTCCTAAAGTGGTCTATCAATCGATTCTTCTTCTATTCTTCTGAGATTCGTTGCTCTGTGAGGGGACTCTGGATGCTAGATATATTCTGTTTGTGGCCTCTCCCAGACCATCTCCCAAGTGATGCAAATGAGCTAGCATCCAGTAGGAGAAAGGTGGCTTACTCCTGAGCGCTATAAACAGTGGGAAATGGAAAGGTGGGGTTATCCCCCCTTGGTATCTTGATGTGGCGTTTACCCTTGCCTCCATCTTTCTCCCTCTGTCTTGACTTTTAGGCTGTGCTTTGAAGGCATTCTGTAAATAAATTCAGAACTGTTTGATTTTTGGCGTGGTCTCGATAACCAAGCCAAAAGTTGTGGCTACCTCTGCCCTGGTTGTGAATCCACCCTTTCTTTTGGGAAAGGATGGCAGGGTACTTGACAGTTTATTGCTGCATGGCCAAATTGCTCCAGGTTCCTTGGCAGACCAGTTTCCAAGCAAGCCCCAGCCTTCTTCAATCTTGGAGCTGGGGAAGGAGAACCCCACAAAACCTCCAGGGCATTATCCAGCCACTTCTGCATTTTCAGGTTTAAATGGAAACCTGGAACTGGAGGGTAGCAGCAGAATTCCCAATGTGAGTCTGGAAATGTGGAAGCCTGAATCCTGTATGTACTAACAGCATACTCATTCTCCAAGTCTGGATCTTTAGGTGGCCAAAATGGTCCTCTGGGAGGAAGGGCAAGATAGAAATTTAAATAATAACAGACATTAACAGATTTGGAGAAACCCCAAACAAATTTTGGGGTGGGGGGAGGAACCCAAAGTGTGGGGAAACCTCAAAAGCAGCCCATTGAGAGGACTGAACATGCTTAGTGCCATGAAATGCTGGCTGATTTTGGGGTGCGTAGGGACTGAATGGCGTACCCTGGCTGGAACCCTGAACGGGAGTACTCCACGCTGCAAAACTTCATTGCAGGTCCCATTTATCAGTATAGTAATGGTGTTTGCAAAAAAGTAGAGCTGGAGCCAAGACACACCTGGTAAGTGTCTTGGCAGGATGAACTTGGGTAGTAGGCTGACCCCCTGCTTTCTCAGTCATGCTTGTTTCTCATTCTCTCTCCTTTTTCTTTAAAGCTTTGTGAATTGCCTACTGACTGGAACGGCATTCCCCAACCATGGCTGAAGGAGGTGCTGGTGGGAACCAGCCACCTCGCGAACCGCCCCGCAACCTCCAGGGCTTGCTGCAGATGGCGGTCACTGCAGGGAACGCTGAACCTGCCCCGATGGAGCCCATGTCTGATGAGGTGCGTGGCTTGGCTTTTATAGGAGGGGTGGTGGTGAGGTCAAATGGTTGTTAGATCTGGGGAGTGAGTTTGAGGAAGGTGCTGTCCTGCGATCCTGGTGCGTTACAGCTAGTGTTGATTGTGGAAGCTAATACCAAGATTATCTAGCAAGGTGCAGAGCAGGTTGGATCAGAAGCAGCCTAGGAGGTATTATCCAAATATTTTCCCTGCATTGCCATTACATTACTAAGTTCCTGCAACTAATGCCGTGAAGCTAGAAATAAAAATCATACAAATCTCAAATATGTATAATAAATATATATATATATATATATATATATATATATATAGTAAAGGTAAAGGGACCCCTGACAGTTAGGTCGAGTCATGACCGACTCTGGGGTTGCGGTGTTCATCTCGCTTTATTGGCTGAGGGAGCCGGCGTACAGCTTCTGGGTCACATGGCCAGCATGACTAAGCCGCTTCTGGCGAACCAGAGCAGCGCACGGAAACTCCGTTTACCTTCCCGCTGGAGCGGTACCTATTTGTCTACTTTGTATTTATCATATTTTCATCCAGCCCTACTTCAAAGGATCTCAGGGTGGTCTACTGAGTTCTACCTCACTCACACACCTATCTTATCCCCACAACCGCCCTGCGAGGTAGGTTGGGGGGAGGGGGAGAGATTGAGAGAGAGACCCAGGATCACCCGGGGAATTTCATCATGGCTGAACATGGAACATGGGATTTCTGAGTTCTGAATCCAGCACACTGTCCATTGCACCACACTGGCTCTCATGCTGCCACATGCTGTTGCTTTAAGTAGGATAGGTACAGGGACCCCTGACCATTAGGTTCAGTCATGGCTGACTCTGGGGTTGCGGCGCTCATCTCGCTTTATTGGCCGAGATGGTACAGCTTCTGGGTCATGTGGCCAGCATGACTAAGCCGCTTCTGGTGAACCAGAGCAGCGCACAGAAACACCGTTCACCGGTACCTATTTATCTACTTGCACTTTGACGTGCTTTCAAACTGCTAGGTGGGCAGGAGCAGGGACCGAGCAATGGGAGCTCACCCCGTCGTGGGGATTCGAACCGCCGACCTTCTGATCGGCAAGTCCTAGGCTCTGTGGTTTAACCCACAGCGCCCCCCGCATCCCTATATATATAATATATATAATTTGCAAAAAGTGTTTGTGTATTCATACATAGACACACTGTCCATTCCTGGCCTTAACCATTGCACCATGCAACATGGAATTAGCTTGGGGCTAGGAAAAAAAGATCTCAAGCTGGCCAGCTCCTGGCCTCTAACAGCAGCGCTTAGCATTCACAAATCACCAGCTGACGTTTGGAGGGGCATGGAGATAAGACAGCATTGCCTGCCTGTCAAAGCGCTGTTGAAACCAGTTTGAGGAACCAGGAGCCCTCTCGGCTATTGCTGTATGACAGCTTCCAACATCTGTGCCCATTGGCTATGCCAGCTGGGGCTGATGGGAATTGGAGTCCATCAATGTCTGGAGGGTCACAGGGTCACTGTAGAGATACAGTTTGGCTCCTGTCTAAAGTTGGCAGCTCCAAGAGGAGTTGACGACAGCGGCGAGGACCCAAAAGCCAATTTTCTAAGCACAACTTCCCCTAACTCAGCGGTGTATGCAAGGAACTAGACTGGCAGGTGCTGAAAAGCAAGACTCTTCTAGGAGAGAGGTGGTGTCTAATATGGGGTCTAGGAGATAAAATTTAGGTTATTTCTGGGGGAAGGAGTGAGCTTTTGGCAGGAAGAGGAAGGACACGTGTGTATGAAATTCCCAATATGTTTCCTTTTCATTCACCTCTGTTCCCTATGCCACTCTGCAGCGGAGACAGTGGCTGCAGGAGGCGATGGTCGAGGCCTTCCGGGGGCAAGTGGACGAGGTGGAACAGATGAAGGAATGTCTGAGGCTGCTGGAGCCACCAACCCCCGGAGCAGAACGTGGAGGGGAGAGTTCAGAGGAAGCACATTCAGACCTTGAGAACAGAGAAGGTGCCTTGGACCTTCTGGCAGAGCTGTGTGAAAACTTGGACAATGCTGCAGGTATAGAAAAGGCCCCATTCCTCTGTATGTGTGCAAGGGAGAAAGAGAGTGTGCAAGAGAGTGGGGAAGAGGGTGCCTTGAGTAATTTGGCGTGGAAACACTAGGAAATTGAGATTCATCTAAGATCCAAGAAGTGAGAAATGTCCTTATGAGCATATTAGAGGTGGCAAGATTATTCTCTTAATTTCCAAGGCTCTTAACAACTTGGGTCCAGGTGACATTAAGGATTTGATTCACTGAGGGCTTCAGGAGGGTCACTGTTTGAGGGTCCCTCATGGCTGGGATGCCAGAAACCATGCATTAATATTGCAGGCCTCAATCTGTGGAGAGTCAGCTGAGATCAGACAGGCCTCTTCTTCCTTGACTATCCAGCACCCGGCAAATATCTTTTTATTTCAGCAGGGCTTTTAAGTAAACATTCTGATTTTTTAAATATAAACAGATTTTATCTTTACTTTATCTTTCTAAACTCTTACTGTACACTGCCTAGAGATTAATAATAATAATAATATTTATACCCTTTCCATCTGGCTGTGCTTCCCCAGTCACCCTGGGTGGCTTCCAGCAAAATACAAAAGCGTAATAAAACGCAAAACATGAAAAATTCCTGATACAGGGCTGCCTTTAGATGTCTTCTAAAAGTTGTATAGTTCTTTATCTCCTTGTCATCTGATGGGAGGGCGTCCCACAGGGAGGGCACCACTATTTATGATTATGGTGTTAAGCGGTATATATAAATGGTTGAAAGAAATAAAATTAAAGAGTAAATTTCACCCAGCGGTTCCTAATGTGGTGGGTGTTCTACACAGAAAACCCAAGATTATACGGTGGAAAGTAGTTACCCTTTGTAACCCCAGTGAGTCACAGCTAAGTCATAGTGCTGGGTGGGTGGGTTTGCAAGATATCCTACCATTCTGTTGGGCTGCCTGCTTTCCGTTGACCCCTTTGCTGTCCTTCCAGACTTCTGCAAACTGGAGGGCATGCGGCTGTTAGCACACCGGTACCTGGAGCACGAGGAGCAGGAGCTGCGTTGGCGGGCTGCTCACCTGGTGGGCACCTGTGCCCAGAACGTGCCCAAGGTGCAGGAGCAGGCCCTAGCGCTGGGCTGCATGAGGAAGCTGCTGAAGCTGCTGGACCACGATCCCAGCGAGGCCGTCCGGATCAAGGCGCTGTTTGCCATCTCCTGTAAGTGCGGGGATGTTCTGACCTGTTGGAAAGGGTGAATTGATTAGTCCTGCAGCAATACAACTGCCTGCATTTTCTGTTCAGCTGAGTAAACTGTGGTTTGAATTTTCCATTCAGGGTAAACCGTGGTTTGAGTGACCAAGCATTGAGGTGGGAGGATTAAATGCACACTCCCCTCAAATGGTTCGTCTGGTCAGATACAGGACCCTCCCACCCCATATGATAGCTTTCCCCTTGGGAAAGACAAATGCAGTTTGTCCATCTCACTTCTGATCCAGCCGTCTGAGATAGCAAAGCCCTTACATTAGCAATGTGCTCAGCGTTTTATTATGTTACCAGATAAATGAGCCAAAGCAGCGGAGGGAAGCTCTGGCCCTTCAGACTACAGTTCCCATCAGTCCTCACTGTTGGCCATGCTGTCTGTGGCTCATGGGAGATGGAGTCAGGGGGACAAGGAGGCAGCTTCCTCACCTCTGAGTCAAGCCACCATTTCAGGCTTGGGAGCTTAGTGAGCTGAGGGTTTCCCCACATGTGAATGGAAATCATATTAATGGGGCCTCACCGACTTTTGTGAACTGCATTTTGCTAATGAACCCAATCTCTCTCTCTCTCTCTCTCTCTCTCTCTCTCTCTCTCTCTCTCTCTCTCCCCTTCTCTCTGCCCCTTGTTGCATTGCCAGGTTTGGTAAGAGCCCAGGAAGCGGGCCTTCAGCAGTTCCTACGTCTTGATGGCTTCTCAGTCCTCATGAGGGCCATGCAAAGCAATGTGCAGAAGCTGAAGGTGAAATCTGCCTTTCTCCTACAGAACCTCCTCATAAACCACCCAGAGCAGAAAGGTAATAATATAATACAATCATATAATCATAATTCATTATTTATACCCCACCCATCTGGCTGGGTTTCCCTAGCCACTCTGAGCGGCTTACAGCATTTCTAAAAACATAATAAAAACATCAAGCATTAAAAACCTCCCAATACAGGACTGCCTTCAGATGTCTTCTAAAAGTCAGATAGTTGTTTATTTCCTTGACATCTGATGGGAGGGCGTTCCACAGGGCGGGCGCCACTACCGAGAAGGCCCTCTGCCTGGTTCCCTGTAACCTTACTTCTCGCAGGGAACTGCCAGAAGGCCCTCCGCGCTGGACCTCAGTGTCCGGGCTGAACGATGGCAGTGGAGACACTCCTTCAGGTATACTGGGCCGAGGCCATTTAGGGCTTTAAAGGTCAGCACCAACACTTTTAATTGTGCTTGGAAACGTCATGAGGAGGACTTTAGAAGGATGCCTTGAAGAGCTGTTCCTTGGTTTGTGAACTTGTTGTGGCTGCATGCAGTGGACGTGGCCATCTCCCACCAATCCTGGGCTGTCCCCAAAGTAGGCCTTCATCAAGCCCAATTGGCTGAAGGAGGCTGACAATGATGCATTTCAGAAGCCCCACATTGGCGGGGACTGTGCTGCTGCCCAGCTAGGTGGTATGGCGTCAGCATGTTCCTGCAAGGAGACGTATCTCTCCTCAGCTTTTCCACCCCTTTCTCTCCACAGAGGCTCTCTGTTCCATGGGGATGGTCCAGCAGCTGGTGGCCCTGATCCGGTCTGAACACAGCACTTTCCATGAACACGTCTTGGGAGCCTTGTGCAGGTATTGAGGGGACTGGGCTGCAGAGAATGAGAGCCAGGATCTGGGGGGATCTCTGACTGATCTATTGAGGGCTACTGGCATGCTTGGCTGAGTTATTTGGGGAGGAGAGCTTTGTTTCTTGTTTCTTGTTGTAGGCCAGAGGTATGAAGTGAGTTGGGGACACGGGTGGCGCTGTGGGTAAAACCTCAGCGCCTAGGACTTGCCGATCGCATGGTCGGTGGTTCGAATCCCCGCGGCGGGGTGCGCTCCCGTCGTTTGGTCCCAGCGCCTGCCAACCTAGCAGTTCGAAAGCACCCTCGGGCGCAAGTAGATAAATAGGTACTGCTTTATAGCGGGAAGGTAAACGGCGTTTCCGTGTGCTGCGCTGGTGCTGGCTCGCCAGAGCAGCTTCATCACGCTGGTCACGTGACCCGGAAATGTCTCCGGACAGCGCTGGCTCCCGGCCTATAGAGTGAGATGAGCACACAACCCTAGAGTTTGTCAAGACTGGCCCGTACGGGCAGGGGTACCTTTACCTTTATGAAGTGAGTTATACAAGCCTGAGCGTTCTCCAGTCTAGTTCTTATCGAGGGTGTGGACGTGAGCTTAGGCTGAACTGCTTCAGACTACAGGACTTTCCCTGTCACTCCTTCTGTTGGCGGACTCAAAAACAGTGCGTGCCGGCAGCGGCACAGCCAAAAGTGAGTCTACTAAGAAACAAGTGGGGAAGCATCAGCATGCTGGGGGAAGCATGTGAGATTTGCAGAAATTAAAAGAGGAAAACCTTTGAAGAAATGAAACTTAATAGGGCAAAGAAACAGCAACAGAACAGTCCAATCAGGAAAGAGCATGCTCAGTAGCTATGAGATGTTGGGTGTCACTTGGAAAGGAAAAGTGTGGGGGATGAAATGGAGTGGCCTGATGGAGGGGCTGGCAGGCAGGCAGGCAGGATATGTGAAGAGGAAACCACAACATTCACAGGTCTCACTTGCTCATCTCTAATCTCCCATTCCTTCCCTTTCAAGCCTGGTAACAGATTTTCCTCAGGGTGTGCAGGAGTGTCAAGAGCCGGATTTGGCCCTCGAGGAGCTCTTAAAGGAGCGGTGCCAGCTACTGAAGGATCAGGAGGAGTTCCAGGTAGGCAGAAATAAATGGGTTCCTTTCCCTCCCTTCCCACCAATCTGTGGAATGAACTTGGTGCGAATGTCTGGACTGCCACTGAGTTTTTCCAACGGCGAAACTTTCGTGGAGTGAAGAAGGGCAGGGCTGAGCATGATAGCCGTATCAAGCTTTATTCTCCCAACATTGGTTAGGAACCTCCAGCCAAAGGCTCTGATCAGGCCTGGCAGGAATCCTAATTTGGCCCACAAGGCTGTTTCTCCACAGACAACCACCAGATGTGGGTCAGGTACGGACACGGCTGCAGAAACGGGAGCTTAAAATCGTACTCCTGATTGTTTCTTGGCAAACGGACCTTGCTGATCAGCACTGACAGACAGCCACTTTGGAGTTTTATCCATACACAGGTGTGGCCACAATTCAAAAAGTGCCTGCAAACTGACATTTTCCCTCTGCAAACTGTCTTCCTGGTCTGCATAAGAAAAACGTCGGTTTGTAGGCATCCAAACCACACCTGCAAATAGGTGGGAGGTGGGAGCCAGCACCCGTTGAAGTTGTCACCTGCCATAATAACGACAGGTGAGTGATAAGTAAGCAATTGCCCGTGAGGGGTGAGGATTTGGCCCGCAAGCCAAATCCAGGCCCTCATCCTGACTGCAGTAATGTCGGCCGGAGCATTTACTTTAAAGCGGGTGGGGAAGGAAGGCTGAGAATGGAAAAGCCAGCGTTTCGCAAAGTGAAATTCCACAACAGCCTGGAATTATGAAACCCTATGCTAGGGGTCAGCAACCTTTTCCAGCCATGGGCCAGTCCACCGTCCCTCAGACCATGTGGTGGGCCGGACTATATGGGGGGGGGGGGACGGAACAAATTCCTATGCCCCACAAATAACCCAGGGATGCATTTTAAATAAAAGGACACATTCTACTCCTGTAAAAACACACTGATTCCCAGACCGTCCGCAGGCCAGATTGAGAAGGCGATTGGGCCGGATCCGGCCCCTGGGCCTTCGTTTGCCTACCCCTGCCCTATGCATTTTCGCCGCCTCCTTGCCTAGGTGGCAGCGTGTTGCTCTCTTCGCTTTACTTTGCTGGGCACTAGAGGGCACTAGGCATTTTTTTAAAAGGCCAACTTTCTGAAGCTTGCAGTGCGGCTATTCCCATTTAAGTGCATTTCTGGAGACGGTTTGCAGCACGGAGAGCTAATAATAATAAAAATTTATTATTTATACCCTGCCCATCAGGGTGGGTTTCCCCAGCTTTACCCACCTAATAGTAGCACAATGCAGAAACAGCTTAAGAAGGAAGTTTGGGGTTCTCCGCCGCTCGGGGCCCCAGAATCCAGCCATCGCTGTCCCAACCCATCTGCGAGAGAGTAAGCCAACTGAGGCTGGCCCTGTGATATATAGGAGGCATGTTTGCTCCCAGCCCCACCCCCCCAGTGGTGAGATGAAGAAGCAGCCTCCTATTGCTGGAGAGGCAGATTTCTTTAGAGGTTGGGGTAAAGTCCCATTACTGTTCATTTCTGTTCTTTCTGGTACTAAATCAGCCTCGTGTTTAATAACCCAGCCAGGTGGGTGGGGTATAAATAATAAAATCATTGTTTTTTTAAATCATTGTTTTTATTAATATTAGCTCTAGCACTGTAGCCAGAAGAATTTACTTGCTTATTTTGTTTATTTTTATCAGCTTGCCCAGTGCCCAAGAAGCAGTTTACAACACCTCCATAAAGCAGCATTAAAGCGCTTGACATCTGACAGTGACACACAGAAATGGGTGCTTGAGCTACACATCAGAAAAGGCCTCTGTAAGGAGGGTCTTAAGGAAGTGTGGTTGCACAGTAGCAAAAAGCAAGGCGTTCCATAACTGAAGAACAGACACACAGTCTTTTCCTTTTAAAAGTTTTATTTTTATTTTCAAAGTTTCAAAAAGAAAAAACAGTTTTTTACACACATTTTCACAAAACCATAGTCCATGTCAGTACCTTTATGGGGTTCCCTTCACCCCTCTCTTGGCTTCCAAAATTCATCTTCCTTTTTTAACTGCATCTAATTACATTTATCCAAATTATTATACTTCATTTTTATCCTTTGTTATTTTAAATTACAAGTGCTATGTCAATCCTGCTAACATTTTTAGATTTTTTACAGTGTTCTTTAATATATTCTATAAAGTTATGCCATTCTCTATTAAATTTGTTATCTTCTTGGTGCCTGATCTTCCCAGTCAGCCTTGCCATCTTCATAGTCCATCATCTTCGTTATCCATTCTTCCTTCGATGGGGCTCTTTCTTCTTCCCATCTCTGGGCATATAATATTCTTGCCGCTGTCGTCGCATACATAAACAGTACTTTCTTACCCTTCAGTAATTCTTCTGTTATACCTAATAAAAAGGCCTCTGGGTTTTTTAAATAAAAGTTATTTTAAACATTTTTTTCAGTTCATTATAAATCATTTCCCAGAAGGCCTTGGCTGTTTTTACAAGTCCGCAACATATGGTGAAATGTACCTCCTTTAACTTTACACTTCCAACATACCATATTTTTCGCCCCATAGGGTGCACCTAGTTTTTTTTGGGGGGGGGGAATAAAGGGGAAAAAAATATTTCCCCCCCCAGGCGCGGGGGAAGCCCGAGCTTCCCCCAACCCCAGCCCCGAGAACAGCCTGCTATCCGCAAGCCTAGGGAGCCCGGCGGGAAGTCGCGCCGGTCTCCCCAGGCTTGCGGAGAGCTGCGCGAAGCCCAGACGCGCTCTTCAGCGGAAGATGCATGAAGCCCAGGAATGCAGGTAGCTCTGCGCAGCCCTCGGGAGCCCGGCGCGACTTCCGAGGGTTGCGCAGAGCTTCCTGAAGCCTGGAGAGCAAGAGGGGTTGGTGCGCACCGACCCCTCTCACTCTCCAGGCTTCAGCGAAAGCCTGCATTCGCCCCGTAGGACGCACACACATTTCCCCTCCATTTTGGGAGGGGAAAAAGTGCATCCTATAGGGCGAAAAATACGGTATGTTGGTTGTGTTCTTATACATTTTCACTAGTCTTGTAGGAGTCAAATACCATCTATACATCATTTTCATATAATTCTCTTTTAACGTACAGCAAGCACACACTCTTTTCCAATGCAAGTAGTATGGAACTTTTACCATAGAGATACCAAGGATAGAGTGACCTCACTTGGCCCTCATTGAGAATCGCGGATGGATGGTGGCTTTCTATTTGAATACAGGCTGCACATGGAAGACTCTAGGCTGTCTCTGAGGTTTTCTGTCTGCTGCTCAAGGAAGTGGGGGGTGGGTAACTTGAGTTGGCTTCCTCGCCACGGATCCTGGAACCGTGCCATTCATTTCCGAGTGCGGTTGTGTCACAACGCCATCTCCCCACCCCCACCCCAAGTGCTCTTCTTTAGCTTGATTTGAGGGTGGGGGTCGGACGGACATGTTGCTTCTGTTTCGTGTCGTCTTGTGTTTATTCTCAACAGACAAGTTCCCACCCCTGCTGTTAGCCAGCGACAGTTTTCCCTGAACGTAGCAATTAGGCTGTGCCGAGCTTGATAATTAAACAATTGGCATAATGGAGTAAGTGTTGGGGATGGGGAACAACCTCACTGTGCCATTAAATTCTTTTTAAAATAATAATAAAAAAAATTCCTAACACGTCCCTCCCCTTCTCCCTGTTCAGCTCCAAAAAAAATCTCCATGTTGAGGTGAGAAAGCTTTGAGACTGAGAACACATTCCTATCCACAGGAAGCTGTGTGGGCTGTAGTTTCAAGCCAAGGAAGGTGGTTTTGGTGGCCCATAAGCAAGGCTGAGCAGAAGCCGCAATAAGCCCTGTTAATTGTAGGCAGGACGGTCATCATACATCATTTTATTTGCATGCCGCCTTTCAGTAGTTAAGGCCTTGCTCAAGGCGGCTTACGTTGCGAACAAATTCTCTAAAATAGTCATAAACAATAAAACCCTTCAAAAAGTACACAACCAAATGGAACAACTTCCACGTTAAATCATAAGATCTAAAAAATAAAGATACAAAAAAATTCAGTAACAGCAACAAAGGACCCCAATGGAAAAAACATCAACCCTAAACAATACCCCAACCCAAGAGTTTGTTCTGCAGCCTCAACTTTTGCAGCTGGAGTCAGTCCAGGTCCTGCCTTCCCAGGCCAGGTGGAAAGTGGCCTGCAAGGCAAAGGAGCAGGTTTTCCAGGACTCACATCAAAGATCGTCCAGCTCCTATTTAGCCATACCATTTCAGACTGGGGGTAGGGCTGTGTGTGTTGCCTATTGGAATAGTCCCTTATAAAATAAGATGCGGGGGGGGGGGGGAGTAAAAAAATTCACCCTGCACTTGGCATTTATTTACTTATTTATATGTTGGCTGTGTTTATTTCCTGCCTTTCTTTTCCAATGAGTTCAAGATGTGGTGGTTCTACTGCCTTCCATTTCATCTTCTCAACAGCCCTGTGGTGTTGGTTAGGCTGAGAAAAATTGACTAGCCCGAGGTCACCCAGTGAGCTTCATGGCTGAGTGGGCATTTGGACGCCTCGGTCTCTAGGTCCTTGTCCGACACTCTAACCCAGCGGTAGGCAACCTAAGGCCCATGGGCCACAGGCAGCCCACGGGGGTCATTTAACCGGCTCACGGCCGCCCCCAAACCGAGCTGCTCGTTCGGGGAGCCCCTGTGCGCTATGCTAAACTGCTGTGGGGAGTCACTTCCGCAGCACCCGAAATTGTGTCCACACAGACACAGACACCAGAAATCGCGGGCGCGCGTGCTCAAGTGCACACACAATCCGGCCCACGGAGGGATCTCCGCTGGAGTGAACCAGCCCAGGCGAGGTAAACCTTGCCGACCCCTGCAGTCTAACCACTACACCACACTGTTAAGGAGAAAGCCAGCTGTGTCGTGATTTCATTGCCACCACACGCTTTATTTGCGGTTGGTCAGACTTTCCACTGCCCGCCCAAGTTCAAGGCAAACACTTAAAGAACCGAAAGCCCGTTAAAGAAGGAGCAGAGCTTGCCTCTCTTCCCTTCCTTTATTTTTTATTTCATTTTGTTTTTAAAGGAGGAGCTGGATTTCTGTGAGGCCCTGCTGCGCCTTTGCTTCCACGGTCAGCCTGATGATAACAGCATGGACCGGTAACTTGGCTTCCCAGAAGAACCCTTGACGCTGTTGGATGTTCATGCTTGCACTTGGAAGCTGTCTCAGTTGGAGAGGCTTGGTGGAAACGCCCGTGTTTATCCTCCCTTTCACTGATCCGGCAACAGGCTCCAGTAACAGAAGATCTCTCTGAAACGAGATACATGGCTTGTCAAGCCTCACGATCAGCAGGAAGACACTTTCATAAGCCGTTGCTGCGTAACTTCCTCTCCGTAGTTCTGCAGAAGCATTCATCTGCTAATCTACCTTCCCAGCCACACCCAGGCAGTTCTACCTTCATTAGCCATAGTTTTGAGATGGCTCTTGAGATCTCCTTTTTAATTGAGGGAAAACTAATCCCATTTCCTGTTCTCCGCTGCTTGTTATTAGGGAAAAGATGCTTAGTCAGGCGAGAAGGCTTGAGTGCCTTTTGGAAAGTAGATGATCAAGAATTGCCTTCTTACTTCCGCAGCGTATGGGAACTGGCTATTCTACAAACCTACTCTGGGTTGCATATTTGGGGAGCATTCGTTCAAAAGGGGCGGTGGTTTTGGTGTATCTGGCTGCAAAGGACCTGTAACTCTACCCATTTTTTAAAAGTTGCTGATAAAGATGGGAAAAGCTTGTCCCAGCTGAAGAATTTCTCGGGGGTGATTGTGGGGGGAGCTTTAAAAAAAATGCTTGTGACAACTCGAAATGTATTGCAAACAGCTTGAATCTCCCACAACTTTGCTTTGCTGTTGCTGTGTTCACTATTCAGCATTTTTTTATTTAAAAAAAAACAACCAAGTTTCTGTTTCGGGTGCTAAGACTGTCACGTTTTTGTTTTTCCTACTAGCAAATGCCTTTAAAAAGTTGAAAATGATGTCTCCATTTCAAAAAAGAAGAAAAGGTGGCAGATCTTTCAGTTTAGGGGTTAACAACAAGAAGCCCCTTACTCAGAATTGGCCTTCTGAATATCACCAGCTTGTTCCCCACCTCCAGCTGTAATCACAGGAGCAGGAAAGATACTGTATTGGCCTCAATATGAGCCACCCCAAATATTGGCTGCACCCCTAAAATGCAATATATTAAGTCACAGCTTCTCATAAGAGAATAATATTATAGGCTGCACTCTGGTTTTTAATACCAGCAGGTAGGGGAAGCATAGCCTAAATAAATACACCACTAGTACAGCATGTACGTAGATGGGATACAGGAGTGGGAAAGCTTAGCAGTCTTACTTTATAAATGGGGAAGGAACTAACCTACCATTCTCCTTAAAGCTGCCCTCCCACAAAGCTAGGTACCAACTAGGTTCTTGCGAGTGACAGGATTATGAAGAGCTGCAAAAGAGTGGCCAGGATCCAAAGGGTGTCCTCAGTGTCTTTCCCCCATTATTATTTGCAATGCTAGTTGGTTGTGCCATGTCACAAATAGCTTACAGGACTCTCCTTGTCTCCTCAGTTGTCAGGCAACTGTGATAGCTCAAGTCAGTAGAGCACGAGACGTTTAATCTCAGGGTCCCATGTTGGGCAAAAGATTCCTGTACCAAGCGGGTTTGACTAGGTGACTCTTATGGTCCCTTCTAACTCTACAATTCTATTATTCTAAGATTACACGGGAGCGGGCTGTAATCCACATAACTAGTCCCCGGCATATCCAGGTAGGGCTGAGAAAGATCCCTGCCTGAAATCTATAAGTAGATGGGTCAGATGGTCTGACTTGATATAAGGCAGCTCCCTACTTCCTAATTTCTAACAGAGCAATGTGCTTACTTCCACATCAGTCCTCTGAAAAAGTACATGGTTAGCATTTTACAAAGGGCAGACTGAGAATGGGGGCAGGTATAAGCCTAGCCACACTTACCAAACCTATGGCTAAAATGGCACTTGAGCTCTGGGCTGAGTTTGAAACTGGGCTGATATAAGATAAATGTGGTGTATTAATTTATTTGAACACATCTTTACTTTGAAATCAGTCCCATGGATTTGTACTTCAAAGTGGTATCATATACGCAATGTCCACATGCTATTATTATTTAGTTAGGTTGCTAGTGGTTTAATACAAAATAAAAAAGTCTACAAGTGACGTTAAGAGGCGTAGCATTATAAACAGGTGATGATGATACATTAAGATAAACCCTTGCAAAACTCATTAAAGAGATCCAGCTGTGATCCTATGTACTGAGAGCTAACTCCATTCTCTTGAGAGTGAATCCTTAGGTAGTCAAAATGGTATTGTCTATGCACAAGTCTGGGAGGAGTATTAGCAGGCTTGGAGGAACTGCAAGTTTTGCAGAAGTACAGCAAATACTTTAAAAGGGGAAACCCCTAGGCTAAGAGCGTGGGAACCCCAAAGCCACTCAGTGAGGACTGTGCCGGGAATGTTAGCTGATGGAGCAGATGGAAAACCACGTGAGAGAGGGAATGGAATGAAGTATCCTGTTAGAAGATCTGTTTGGCTGGCACCTTGAGCAGCAGTTCTTCACACTGAAACATCCTTACAGGTGGAACAGCTGGTTTATAAAAATAATTTACGCCCTGCTTTAAAAGGACTTCCCAAGGTGGCTTGCAGTCATTGAAAGAATACAACTACCTTTAAAACAGATACAAACAAACAAACAAACAAACAAACAGGAGAGATCCGAACCAAATGCTTAGCAAATTTTAAAAGTTAATTCACTTGAAAAGTATAGCTGAGGGAGCCAACTGGGTCTTTCTAGTTGAGTGCTTCCACTGAGGACGCCGTGCCCTGTGTTTCACTTCCAAAGACAACAGGACGCAGTGAAGAATGGGATAATGAACACAGCCTGTTGATGTACACTTGTATGCCATCAGGCATGCCATCAGGTATCCTGGTCTCAAACCACTTAGGACAGCAATGGGCAACCTGTGGCCCTCAATGTGTTATTGGACCACAACTCCCACCCTGGGACTTGGGGGTGAAGTGTGGGTGATAAATTGCCATCGTCACCATCTCCCAACATCCCTGACCATTGGCCTTGCTGGCTGGGGCAGGTGGGAGTTGGGAGTCCATAGCTTCTGGGAGGCCACAGATTCCCCATCCCTTTATCAGCAGCAACAAGCTCACTCTAATTGAGCCAGTACTTGTTCACACAGCACATAATTAGAACGATGGAATTCACTTCCCACAGGATGCAGTTACAGCCACCAATTCGAAAGGCTTTAAATGACGATTAGACAAATTGACGGAGGATAAGGCTTGCAGTGGCTACTAGCCCCAGTGGCCACATCCTACCTCTGCTGTCAGAGACAGGATGCTACTGAAAGCCAGCTGCTGGCAATCGGAAGGGGGGGGGAATTGCTGTTGTGCTCTGGTCCTTTTTGTAAATGGTTGGCCACAGGCATCGGGTTGGCCACCGTGAGAACAGTGCGCCGGACTAGATGCCCCTTTGGTCTGATCCAGTAGAGCTCCAATGTTTGCTTATGTTCCCAGCTGAAATCGCCCAAATGTCCTAACAATAGCAAATCCTGAAGAATGACACCCTAACCTCGACAGTTCACAACACCCAGCCCCCCCATGCAATTTAGGATAATACTCATAGCTGTCAACCTACAGATTTGAAAATAAGGGACCAGCAGCCTTGAAAATAAGGGACCAGCAGCCAAAATAAGGGACCTGCAGCCTCACCTGTTCCAGGCACTCCAGTCTTCCTGTCCTCCTGCAGTCTGGTCAAACTCATGCTGGGTAGCTTCGAGAACACCAGAGGTTCAACTGAATAGAATCTGAATCACATGCACCACAAGGCCTATGCAGCCTCAACTTAAGATGGCTCCCTGGCCTGGCTTTGCACTGCAAAGTTTGCAGCAGCACGTGCAACAAAATGGCATCCAGCATTCAAAAAACCTTTCAGCTTGCATTAACTAGCCACACACAAGGCATGCAAGCTCCACCCCCCAGTCGTTCTTAGACTTCTTATTGGGTGAGCAACACAGCCAAGCAACACAGTTGGAGCCTTCCTCCTCCCTGGCCGGCAGGAAGGGAGGGAGAGGAGCTGCTTCCTTTGAAATTTAAGGGACATCCTTCAATAAGCGACAGCAGTGGGACATGGCACTGGAATAAGGGACTGTCCCTTCAAATAAGGGACACTTGACAACTGACCAGTCACAGCGGTTCTGCCGCCGCCTCCCCTAACAAAAGTCCTGCCCCCCTCTAACAAAATTCCTGGCTGCTGCTTCTTTGGCGATCACTTGTAGCCGAGTAAGATTGTCTTCCATAAACACGGTTTTATCAATGAGTCCGTAAGTGACTGTGGAGAGCAATTCTGGATCCACACGTCCTTCCACAGTGGGGCATTGGTTTCCGGGCGGGAGCTGATAATCCAGAGAAGTGTATGCTATAATAATTGTGAGGGTCTTCAAGGTGCCACAAAGCAGCTGATTTGTCTGCAAGAATCTGAAAGTGTGCCTACAAAACGTTTCAACGAAACTTCCAGTACAAAATCGTTGAGAAGAAACAAAATGAACGGGGGGGGGGAATACACAGAGGGGGCAGGAAGTAAAACAGAGGCCAGCAAGAGTAAGGTGGCAATTTCACTTGGGGAACAGAAGTTTCGAAAGGAGCAGGACAACTGTCGTAAGTAAATAATGCTCAGGAGGCGAGGGAGCGTGACGCATGCGCAGGTGCGCCTCCCTCTTCCCTCCATTGACAAACGGGAGGGGCGGGGGAGCCGGAAGGAGGAGGAGGAGGAGCTTAAGTTGGAGGACAGGGGCGGAGCTACAGAGCTCGCGGAGGAGGATCGGCAAGAGAACGCCGAGTTGAGGAGAGGGGAGGGGCTAAGCGGAAGGAGGAGGAAACAGCAGGTCGGCCGCTGGAGGCGCGCGCGGGGGATTGTGGGATTGCGGCGGTGAAGGCAAAAAAAAAAAAAAAAAAACACACAGAAAGAAAAAAAAGAAAAGAAAAGAAAGTGAAGAGCGGCTGAAGCGAGCGAAAGAGGCTCCTCTCCCGCGGGCGAAAAAGGAGCAGGAAGGAGGGGGCTCGAGCCCGGTAAGAGCGGTTGACGGAGGGGGCGGGGGAGGAAAACGGGGGGGGGAGGCGGAGAGAGAAGGCGGGGGCGGGAGTGTGCTATATATATATATATAGGTATGTATATACATATACATAAATATATATGTGTCTGTACTGTCTGTGTGTGAGGGAGAAGGGAGCGGTGTGGGAAGGAAGCTGCCGCCATTTTAGAGCTCCCTAAGGGAGACCCTCCCCCTGTTATACTTCACACCCACTCCGTGTTCCCCCTCGCACGCCCATAGTTGATTTTTTAATCCTTTCCTCTGCCCCTCGTATTTCCTCCCGAGGCCCACCTCTTTCTCCGTGTCAGGTAACGAGCCTCCTTCCTTCCTTCCCTCCCTCCCTCCTTCCCACCCCGCCTCCCTCCCTCCGACTCGGCGGCTTCATCTCTGTCTCCCCCCGTCTCCCCCCGTAGCCTCTTCTTCTCTACACTCCCATCCTCTTAAAAGTCTATTTACTGTCTTTGGAAACAGCAGCAGCGAGACAGTTTATCTGCTATAGTTGCTATTCAAGAGGAGAGAAGGCTCTCTCTCAGCTGCCCCCCAAAAAGCATAACAAACACGTTTTGTTGCAACCTGCAAAAGTTCAGGGAAGCCAACCTTTCAAAACCCGTTTGATGGGAACTGGGAACCCAGAAAACTGAAGTGGAAGTGCTCTTCTTTTGTAAAAACTTGAGTCATGTTTGCTAGCTGGTCAGACTGATAAACAGGTGTTTTATCTCCTTTTTGAAAGGTGCAGGCCCTGGTTTTTCTTGCCTTTCTTGAGGACGGAGAATTGTATGTGGCTGGGTTAGTGATTTTTCTAAGGCGTGTTAGTGATGGTGCACAAATGCACACAGAGTTTTCTTTATTTTGACTTGCTATTCTTACTTGCTATTCAGGGTTTGATTAGCTTGGAGGGAAAGAATTCAGGGCCCTAGGTATTCAGTCCTCACCCCAGGTGTGCTTTTCTCACAATACCTAACTCCTTCCAGATTTTTTCTATCTACTTCTCCCTCGTCACCCCACTCGTCACCCCACTAGCTGTAAACTATGTCTTTTATTTAATACTGAAACGCCCACAGGTACCATGTCTGTTTATTTCTTCTAATGCTCTACCAAATAATTGCTACTCTGTACTTCACTCCTCATGATTGCTGACATGAATTAGAAATGCTACATGTTCTTAAATTGCAAACACCCTTGTTATATAACACTCTGTAACCTTCCTGCTGTGTACAGAAAGGTGGTTAAACTGTGTTAATGGATAAACTTAGTTCTGATAACTGAGTACACATGGACCACTAACGCCTCCCTGCTGACATTGAATGACCCTAAGGGCTATGACCCTAGGTTCCCTTTTACAGAGATGTCCTGGAAAAGCTTGATCTCTCAACCTCTTTCCATCCGCAACTGTGTGACTGTTTCGTACTGTTCACTGAGGGCTCCTGGTTGTTTCCCCACACTGTATTCCCTTCTTTCCACAAGCTTTAATTTTCTTGGTAAGCTGTAAAAACATGGCTTGTCATTTTTGCTGTGTTTCTGTGGTTTGTAATCTGGTGCTGTATTTGGTGAGTCAGAGGAATAATGGTTCTACATCTCTCTTGAAGGCAGGAGCTGACTTCTCTGATGGTCTTGGGATTCTATGACTCCCTTCACAAGTAACTTTCATTTTGTGCAGGATAGGGAATTGTCTGTCTTTGCATGTGTCTGCCTTAGGTGGGAGTTGCCTCATGTTTTTCAGGTCTGGAGAAAATGCATTGTTGGTTTAATTTACTGCATTAACCTTTAGATGGCTTCACCTGGAGATGTGGGGCATGTTAACAAGTTGAAAAAGCAGATGAACTTTATTTTATGTTAAAATACTGGCTGAGTGGCATTTGGGGGATCAAGAAATTTGATTCTGGCTTTCTTTTCACATAGCTGTTTTCCTTGTTGAGCCTTCTGGATATGTGAATAGAAAGGTTCCCTATTTATTTGGAGGAGAATCCATATATTTTTCGTTACTTTAAATGTGGGCAGGTGCCCACTTCTTGGGACCTTTCTAAACAGGAAACTGGAATGGGCTCCACTTTCTCTTCTGACTTATTTTTGTCTTTTAAATCATGGTCCTTGTCACAGTTTCCGTGGACCTGATGTTCTCTTGGTCTCTGTTCATTCTGTCAATAAAATAAATGAAACTATAAAGTGCTGATTCATGAAAGTGAGCTTGCAAGACTGCTGGTGTATTGACCAAGGAAAGACTGCTAAGTGAATTACAGTCATTGCAGCATCATGTGTGTGCATCTGCCCATATCTTAAAGTACCGGTAAATGAAAGACACTCAGCTTGGTTCTGGAATGGGGTGGTTGCTCACTGGGAAATGATGTGAAGTTAGAATTGTGGAGAGAGGAGGAGTTCTACTTGGGTAACTATAGAAAAGGCCTCATAGTTTGTGAATAGTGAATATTGGTTTGAATTGTTGGAGATGCAGCTCAGGCAAGTAAGGACTGGGGCAGAATGCTTCAGAACCTACAGCCATTTCCACTGCTACTGTGGCATAACAGGATTAAATAGCAAGGAAATGTGATGACATTTTTATGTGCTTATCTTACCTTGACTTTTGAGTGGTGGTGGAGAAAAGGGTTCTGATCAAATGGTGTTTTTGCCATAACCCCACCAGTGGTAGCCCCATCAGTTTCTTAGTCAAGCAAATGCACCAGCAGTCAGAAACTCTGTTACTGAGAACCAATGTGGTGTAGTGGTTAAAGTGTTGGACTAAGACCTGGGAGAGCACTCAGCCATGAAGCTCACTGGGTGGCGAGTCACTGTCTCTCAGCCTAACCCAGGCATAGGCAAACCTGGCCCTTCAGATGTTTTGGGACTACAGTTCGCATCATCTCTGACCACTGGTCCTGTTAGCTAGGGATGATGGGAGTTGTAGTTCCAAAACCTCTGGAGGGCTTAGTTTGCCTATGCCTGGCCTAACCTATCTCACAGGGTTCTTATGAGGATAAACTGGGAAGATGTATGCCACCATGAGCTTGGGGGGAGATGGCATATAAATGTAGTTATAATAGTTATTATAATAATAAAAATTGCTATTGTAGTAAGTCATTGCAGCAGCGCATAATCCGAAAAGTAGAGATGCTAGTTTAATCTAGTGGCAATATAGATCTGAAATAGTAAGCAGGTTAAGCATGCGTAGAATCAACTCCAGATATTGGGGAGACGTGTGACTTTTGCCTACAGTGTTATGTGATGTGCATGCATTGTTGAATCTAGTCTTACAGTACAACCCTGTACATGTTTACTCAGAAGTGAATCTAATTGTGTTCAGTGGTATTTACCTGCATGTAGGATTTCAGCATAAATTCCTTGAACCCGCAGGGCTGCCTAGGCTGCGGATGTGTTCCCGAAGCGTCAGGCGCTCTGCTTTCAGCGCGTCCGGCGCTCCGGGAAGCAGACTGCTATCCGCAGCCTAGACAGCCCTGCGGGAACTCCCACAGGGCTGCCTAGGCTGTGGATGTGTTCCTGAAGCCTGGAGAGCAAGAGGGGTCGGTGCACACCAACCCCTCTCGCTCTCCAAGCTTCAGCGAAAGCCTGCATTCGCCCCATAGGACGCACCCAGATTTCCCCTTCATTTTTGGAGGGGGAAAAGTGCGTCCTATAGGGCTAAAAATACGGTATGTTTAACTGACTTAACAATTGCACCTATTTTGGGATACTCCTGAACTGAAAGTTTGCATTTCTAATGCACAGAACAGGAGCACTTAATTGGGAAGTGCATCCAAGGAGTCTGGTGGCGGGTGTTGTGAAGCAAGGGGAACCTTTATAGCTTGTATAGTGTTTGGATCTGACTTCAACTAAAAGTTACACTAAGAAGTGTTGGGTGAATAATAATATTTTGCTTTCCCCTTGTACCTTGCTCTCATCCTCTGGCTGTTTCCGTACTTTAGGGCAGAGTCTGGAAGGATTGGTCAGGTGTGTATGTATGTGTGTTTTGTTTCATTTCTCTGTTTTTATTTGGCTGCTGTCCATTCGTGAGATCAAAATATGCAGAAGGTCTATGACAGTGGTGTCCCCTTTCCATTGATCTGTCTGCTATTAAAGGCAAAAGGGGATTCCACCCATCTGTCTCTGTGCCTTGGTTAAACTTGGGAACACGTCAACCTTTTTCTTACTTTACCTGGGGGAGTTCAATATCTCAGAGCTGCTGGTGGTTGTTTTTTAAGCCTACCGCAAGAGATCAAAATCCACAGCTAGGCATGGTTAAATGTAGGAGATGTACAGCTACAGCTTGCCTTGACAGCTTTGGCAGAAGAGACATAAAGCTAATCCTGCTGCTGCAATCAGCACATAAGGAAGTAATTGAAATAAGAGACTTCAAATTCGAACAAAGCGTTTCTTTTAGTACCTTTTGACAGACAGCCTGGGATTTGAAATCCTTATTTATTTCCCACAGCAGGAATGATCTGGGGCAGGAGTAATGTATACTTCTATGCTCAGTCAGCAGTAGGGACAAGGGCTTGTTGCGCACAGGCCAGATATGAGAGATTGTGCCACAGTAAATTAGCTGTTGTTTTGACAAATGCCACCTTTTGCTAAGCTTTGATGGAGCTGTGGTGTAAGGAGGTGCCCATTCAATATACAAGCCCCCCCCCCCCCGATCATTGCGAGAAAAGTTCTGTGGATCTCTTTAGGACAGTGGGAGTGGGTTGACTTGGGTCTTGTTTATACAATCAATATACCATGGATGTTATCCTAGGGTGGTTCTCCTGAGATATATACCCTGTCTACACAAGTAAGGAATCTTGGGTCTTTCAGGAACACACCTTCACTAAATATTTTGGACCACCCATGGGGCACTGCGGTCCTCTTTGACTTTTTTTATGGTCACCTTAAAAAGTGATGGATAACTGTGACAAATGTGTGTCATACAGGAGCACTCAATGAGAAGCCACAGTTGTTTTGCTTGGTGGAAAAGCAGGGTTTGCCCTGCTTAATTTTGGTATCTTCCCACAATGAAACAAGTGTAGTTCACTTGTACAATGGTGACCCGCCCTTCACCCTAAGGTCCCAGAGTGGATTACAACATTTATAAAATTAAGAACAATTTAACAACCACAAAAATAAGGTGAGTCCTGAAACTATACACCTCAAGTGTCAAAAGCCAGGGTATAGAGGTGTATCTTCAGCCATCACTGGAAACTCTGTAATGAAGGTGCCACCTATGTGGGAAGGGAGTTCTACAACTTAGGGGCTGCCACAGATGATGCAATTAGCTCTTCCCTGCCAAAGAACCACTGTGCATCTGCTTGGTACTATGGACAGCTCTGTAGGTGGAAAAGGGGGGCAGAGACCAGACAGTCTTAAGCATATCCGGTACCATGGTGCAACGCTCCCTCTGGCGACGCCCCCCCCCCCCCGTTTCCCAGAGTTTTATAGGGAGGACGGCGCTGCTGGCGGGGGGCTGGAGGAGGCGGGCAGAAGCTGGACACAGCACCTCCCGGCTCAGCTGGCTGCTTTGTGCCGCGGTGGCCATGGTAGACAGAGGCTCCAGGTATGGCGCTGCTTCAGCGCGGCATGGCAGAGATGGGCAAGGGCAGCAAGCTGATGCCGGGAGGCGTCGCGTCCAGCCTCCGTCTCTTCCCTGGTGCCCTCCAGAATGTGGCACCCCGGCGCCCCGCACCACTAGCCTCTATGGCAGCCTTTCTCAACCTGTGGCTATAAAGCATGGGTTGTTATGCCTGTGGCCCTCCAGACATTGCTGAAAACAGTCAAATACCCACCAGCCCCAGCCAACATGGCCCAATGGTCAAGAACAATAGGAGTTGTAGTCCAACAACATCTGGATTGCCACAGGTTCCCCAGCCCTGCTGTAAAGGATAGGAGGAAGGAAGGGAAGGCAGGGATTGAGAGGTGGGCCATTCCGTTTTGCGTCTCATCTAGTTGGCCAAGGTAAAATAGTCAACAGTTTTACTACTATCACTGTTGCCAATACTACTACTGTACTACAAATATAATCATTATATTTATTAGACTGCTATTTATTAGATGCTGTTGAACTACAACTCCCATCACCCCTAGCTACCAAGGCCAGAGCTCAGGGATGATGGGAGTTGTAGTCCAACAACATCTGGGGACCTACAGGTTGAGAACCACTGCTCTATGGGTAAGACGCCCTGAGACCAGAACAGGTTCTTTGTCTTTGTATTGTATATACTGTGGTGAAAGTAGCTCTTCCAAATCGAGTTTTACAATACGGCAGTAGTTAGCTGAACCTAGTGTTTCCCTAAATAGGGTATCCTGACCTGGGTTCAGTGATCCAGTTGCTTATGGAATCAAAAGAACCTTGGCTTCAGTTTTGACTAGCTTCAGTTGGCTAGCAGATTTTTAGACCTTATGATTAAATGGTTTCAGTGCAACACCATTTCTTGGTGTGGGCCTTATCATTTCAGAAGCCCCTTCTTTTTGTGGATTTTGCCTTAACAGCTCCCTTATATCACTTTGGATTCTTAACATCTTTTTTTTTAATCTTTTTTTAAAGGATGCATTGGGGAGCAGGAAACTGCAGGTCTGTTAGTTTCTGGCCTGGATAAATTGGTAGAAATCATGATTAAAGCTGGAATTATTAAACATGTAAAAGAACAAGACACGCTGAGGGATTTCTGCAAAGGAAAGTTCTGCTGTGTCAATTTTCTGGAGTTCTTTGAGTGTCAGTAAGCATGCAGACAGGGATAATTTGGTGCCTACATGTTCTGCTTTTGGGTTTCTTGAAAGGATCTGGTTTGCTACTGTTGTCCTGGACCTGGATGGATACCGGGTCTGATACAGCATAGCTTCTCTTATGTCCTCAAGATATATTTTTAGTTAGGCTTTTTATTAAAAAATGGCCCTACTCTTGTTTCCTTCTCACATGGAGCTCCAAATCCAACTTGTCCTTCCCAACCCATCATGCCATCTTGTGCTCACCAGCCCATGCCAACATTCCTTTATAGCTTACTGGTTCTCAGAAGGGATCCCAACATAGAATCATAGAAATGTAGAGTTGGAAGGGAGCCAAGAGATAATCCAGTCCAAACCCCTGCAATGTCGGAATCTCAAGGAAGCATTTATTCTTACTCATTCCTGTTTGTTCACTTATTATTCTATATATATGTGCCATCACTGCAAATGAAGAAAAGCCTAAAAATGTAAGAGGTAGGTCTACCAAAAGACTTGGAAAACAGAAAGAAATTATTTGGGTTTGCTTCCTTTTGTCCAGGAGGTAGGGCATGTCTCTGTAACCTTAATTGCTTCCTTCCCCCTGCCCCACATACAGAAATTGCACTTCTCTTTTCACTGTTGCTGTGAGACACTCCAATTATTGCCAAACCCAGTACTCAACAATCTGAATCAGAAAATCTAACCTGGGTCTCTCCCCTACTCACCTAGTCATAAATTTAGAATGTGGAATTCAGGTTTTCTGATTATAGAATTTGGCAAGCGTGTTGAGTTTTTATCGGTTTTTTTAAGGCAGTTTGTGGTCCTGGGCCTAGTGCTGTGTACATATTTCAACATGCTTGTGCGTGCATGCAGTTTGAGTAAGAGTGTGTGGCATAGCTGGACTGAAACGGATAGGGTGTGCTGGGGAGGACACACTGTAAAAAAAGCACTGCAGCATTTCAGAGTTCCTGACTGACAATGGCTATACAGTCGTACCTTGGAAGTCAAACAGAATCCGTTCTGGAAGTCCGTTCGACTTCCAAAACATTCAGAAACCAAAGCACGGCCTTAGATTGGCTGCAGGAAGGTCCTGCAGCCAATTGAAAACTGCGCTGCATGTTCGGCTTCCAAAAATCGAAACACTCACTTCCAGGAGTTGATTTGTTCAGGAGCCAAGGTATTTGAGACTGTAGTAGCATGATAAAGCTGGGCATACCTGTCTTGGGTCTCCTGCGTGGGTGTTCAATGCATTCTTTCAAAAACACACCCATCCCCTCTCTCAGCAAGTTTCCCATTGGCTCTGGGTGTCCTCCCCTCTAGGAAAGCCTTAACTATAACTGCTGAGGGGCAAGAGTTCCTGCTGGGGGGGGGGGTGCTATACCTATCACACTCCAAAGTGTAGGTTCTCTGGAGTTGACAGGCGTTTGCTCATACTGAAGTTCATAAATCAAGACTAGGTAATAGAGTGGGTTTAGGAAGGGTAATGTAAGAACGGGCGGGTGGGGTTCAACCAGGGATTGAGGGTCATCTCTCGGCTAGTGAACGATGATGAGCAAAATAGTCTCCATGACTGTGGAAATGATCTGAGGTATATGTGAGGTGACTGTGCTAGCAGAGAGCAAGACCTCTTGATCCTAGTAGAGGAAGCACATGGCCTTAAACTCTTTGCCAATAGTGAAACTGGAGGCTTGTAAAAGAGACCACCTTCTGCTATACTGTGACAAGGGTCATGTGTGTTGAAAAATGTTGCCCTGCATACTTTTAACAGGGAGTCCTGCCCAACCTTACTTTTTTGTGAGTATTTAAAATCTGCCTTGTTTGCAAATGCCTCAATAAGGCTAACAAAATAAAGATAAAGCATAATAACAGAAGTGGAATAATAAAAGCAATAATTAATTTAAAACAGTCAAGCAACCAAAGGAGGCTCAATTATCTTAAACAGCAGTTAAATACAATTAAAAGCCTGGGAGAATAGGGTGGACTTTGCTTGGCCCCTAAGAGGTGGTAAAGAAGGTGCTAGGTGAAAATGCTTAGGGAGGGAGTTCCATAATTTGCTACCGAGAAGTTGCCACATTGTGTGGCATGATTGGGCCAGCTTACTCTTTCATAACAAGTGGAGTTCTGCCTATTTGAAATATTCTTGGTTCTCATAAGTTTTTACTTCCCTCTCAATCCATTAGTAGAGAGTAGTCTCTGTATGCACGGGTTATCCCTTTTGGCTCCTTTAGGCTGAATACTTTCTTTAGTCTTTGCCCTTCCTCCCATTTCCCCTGAAGTTCTGGTCAGCATCTCATGTGTCTTTTAAATCCCAGGCCCAAGCTGTAATCCACGGCTGTGGGATCTCTGGCCCACCAGATGTTGTTGGACAACAACAACACCCCCCCCCCGCCTGCCCCATCAGCTCCAGGCAGCATGACCAATGATCAGAGATGATGGGAGTGATCTGGAGAACCACGTACAGTATTCCCCACTTGTTCTCAAGCCCTGCTATCTATGGTTAGGCATTAGACACTGGCTAAGCCTTGCAATTTGCCCAATTCTGTGTTGTCTTTTTCAATTTCCTAGCACACCTATCTACTGTCCCTATTCATTCTGCGCAAGCCCTAATTCTTGGCATGCTTTAGCGATGATCGTTAACTGCTTGTGACACCGTGGCTGATGCTTGCTTGAGTTTCTGGTGAATTTGAGACCCAACACAAGCCTCTCTTCCACCTCAGCTGAACCCTGGTGACTCTGCTTCTATGGCCATTCAAGCTGGCTTTTTAGCCTGCCACTTACAAAGGTTTACAAAGGGCTCATTAAGGAATTGTGACCAGTTGGCCAAGCGTTAGTGAAGTTGTGCAAGTGACCTTGGCTGATCCCGCTAGCTGAGGGTGGGGCCAGAAAATCATCTAGGCTGCACTCAGGCGCAATGAACAAGTTTGAGAATGAGAAAGTAAATACCGTAAGTGTCCTGGAAATATTAATGCCATTTTTTGTATACATCATAGGGCATGTGCCAGTGCACAAATGAGAAATGCAAGAAACGGTTTTGGAGTATGACGGAAGAAAAAAATTAAGAAATTTGAATCACTGAGCTGTGGATGTGTATATGTGTAGTGTGAGTGTGCTAAATTAAAACCTGTATAACAAATAGTTCCTTGCCGAAAGCCATAATCTTCTTGTTTCCCATCAGTAAAATAGGGCTCTTTGTCTTCTGGTGTTCATATAACCTGATTTTGGTAGCGATTCCTGGCAATTTCAACCTTTTTATTTTAATAAAGAGGTTTCTAGACCTAATAGCCAGGGATGACTTTTGACAACAAGCAAGGGATGTGATCCTCTCTTGTTTGGCAGATACTTTATTCCTGTGTGGCTGTGTCCCCTCCCATGGCCTCCAGTCAGATTCCCCCACCCTTGCCACTCCTCATACCACTTACTACTGCTCTTCATTTAAAAACAAAATAGTAGGTTCAGAATAAAGCATACAAATGGAGCACTGTGAGCTAACTTGGCAAAGAAGTTTTTTTTAAATTGTGTGTGTAACTTACTTTTGATTCTAGTAAGTAAATTTTTATTTATACCCTGCCCTCCCTGGCCAAGACCGGGCTAACATCAAATATCAAATACATTAATACACAATCAAACAATTGATTAAAATACAGCTTAAAAATTAAATTACAACCATAGGGGTCAGGAACCTCAAGTATTCATCAGGGCCAGCTATCCATGTTGGTCCCACATGAGCTAATAAAAGTGCCAAAGAGGGAACTTACAGGGCCCCATAGAGGGGGGTTAAACTGGGCCCAGACCGAAGGCCAGGCAGAACAACTCCGTCTTGCAAGCCCTGCGGAAAGATGTCAAGTCCCGCAGGGCCCTGGTCTCCTGCAATAAGAGTGTTCCACCAGGCTGGGGCCAAAGCCGAAAAGGCCTTGGCCCTGGTTGAGGCCAGTTTAACCTCCTTGAGGCCTGGGACCTCCAAGATATTATTATTTGCGGACCACACTACTAGTTGGGATAGTTGTGTACCTGGTATGAGCAGTACTAAGAGCTGCAATCATACTCTTCAGGTGGTTGTACTGATGAGAAGAGAACTAGAAGGAATGCCCTTGCCCTGCCTTTTAATGATATAGCCTAGTAGCTAAATCTAAACACATGCTATAATGTGGTGGTTTTGTTTTAAAGAAATGAGAAGTTAGAATGTGCATTTGACAAATCTCATCACTTGACCCACCTGTTATGTGGGGTTAGAATCCCTTTTCATCAAACCCTGAGTTTGCTCCCCATAAGTTGCCTGGAAAATTAGCAGTAAGGTTGTTCTTGGCAACCAAATCTTTGGCCAAGTGTCTTTGTTTTGTCTAAAACCTTTGTTTGAAGTATTGCTACCAAATACCACAAAGACCTGTTTGTTAACTGTAATCTACTTATATCAGTACCATATGGGCCTTCTGCCAAACTTGGTGTCAAGAGGCAAGTGAATTTTGTGGAATCACAGCAACCTTCTGGAGAAGAAGAGATGCCACCTTCATTTTTATTAATGGTTTTGTAGTGATTGTAACACATGTTTGCAAGTCATATCAGAAATTATGCATTGCAAGGTGAAATGTAAAATATTTTAAATAGCCAGTTTTCTCTTACCTTGATATTGGTAAGCTGAATAAGGACAGGGATGAATTATGGACATATAAACATCTTTAAGCAAGTGCCATTATCTGTTTAATTATCATCAGAAGCTCAAAAAAAGCAGGGCTGTGAAAATGCCTGTCAATAATAGTTCCTCCTGTTGAAATCTAGTCCTTAATATTTATCTTTACGAACTCTCTAGCCTGTTGCCCTGCAAAAAAATGTAGCACTTGGAACAGGGGCATGAATGTGGAGTGACTGAGCCTTTATTTAGAATCATACAGAGCACAGCTTAGGTATTACTTAACTGAAAAATGCCAGTAGAACAAACAGTGCTTCTGTGCCACTACGGGAGAAGACTTTGTGTCGTAGTTCACTGCATTTTTCTTTGTTGTCAGAATCAAAGTAGAGGGGGGGAATCATTTTTAACCTGTTCCAAGGCACTTCCAATTCCAAGGATCAAGTTAAAATCGTATTTCTGTTGTTCAACCAAGCTGAAGTTCTGACAGAGCTGCACATATTTGCAGTGGCCACTCAGAACTTTGGGGGTGGGGTGGGATTGCCGTGGTTTTAATCTGGTAAACTGTGGTACGATATACAAATAATAGTATATAACGTTCTTATAAATTTGAAAGGGAAAGCTTCTTGATTCAGTATTCTGAATTCTGCAGCTCAGGGGCAGGGAAACTCTGGCCCTGAGCCACATGCAACTTGCTCATATACCCCACAACAGTTAGGCCTGAAAACAGTCTCTCCCATCAGTTCCAATGGAAAGCTGTTTTCAAGCCTAATTGCAATATATGTGGGAGTTACATCTAGGGAGGGAAGGAACAACCCTTCCTGTGTGCTGAGTCCCATTAGCTCCAGTAGGAGGCTGTTTTCAGACCCAAGTACCAAATCAGGAAGTGATCTTCAAAATTGGGGGGGGGGGTTTTGAGAACGTCGGGGTGCCCCCTCCCTGAGTATTTTGCATTGGCCCTGCCCATTACTGGCCCCTGGAAGGCTAGCCATGAGGGGGATAGTTCCTCACCCCTGTTGTAAAAGGTACACATACTGTTCCTTATCTTACTGCTGCTGATTTGTTTTATTATACTGATAAGTTAAATAGTATTTTGCAGTCATCATGGTTAAGAGATTTTTATTTAAAAGACCACCATTACTAAAATAAAACAAAACATCCAGGGTTGTATAAAAAAAGCTTAGAGACATTAAAAGATAAGGATCAGTTTTTGAAATAAAGCTTTAATAGTTAGCCAAAACAAAACAAATAAAAAAAACCACCACCCCAAAATCTCTTTGGCTACAGCCCACTGGATACAGCCTTGGAATCGACTTGTCCACCAAGAAGATGGCTGTTAGCTTGTTTTAATTTGAGTAAAGTTACTGGGATGGCTGTCTCAAGAGTTCCATTCCTCTTTTATTGGTCTCTCACAAAAAGGTACAGTTGCTGAATCTAACCTTACATGCCTGACCTGATTTGGTTTCTCAAGGTTTGGCACAGCTACTAAAGGTATAGAGCCAGTTATTCCTTAATCTTGCAGCACTGTCTGGTTCTTGCTACTCTATTCCTGAGCATGACAAGCTGAAGTGTGTTTCCATACCCTGAGGGTGGGATTGTTTTTCCATTTTTCAGCACGAGCGAATGCAGGATTAAATGGACTGCTTCAGGGAGATTTTAAAACCAGAAAACAAATGCAGAAAAGAGGACTGAATTGCTTCCCTGTATTGGTTATGAACTTTCAATGTTTGTGTGTGGAGGGGGGGATAAGCCCTTCCTCCCGTCACTTCCCATTACAGTATGTCATAATCTAAACAAGGTAGATAGTGGGTTGGATCCAGACTGCTAGTTGCAGCTGGATCCCATTGAGGTCAGTAGGAACCAAATTACACATGGCTAATTTTTTCACATTGATGGAAATGGGACCTACCGTATTTTTCGTCCTATAGGACGCACTTTTTCCCCTCCAAAAATGAAGGGGAAATCTGTGTGCGTCCTATGGGGCGAATACAGGCTTTCGCTGAAGCTTGGATAGCGAGAGGGGTCGGGGTGCACTGACCCCTCTCGCTCTCCAGGCTTCAGGAAGCTATCAGCAAGCCTGGGGAGACCGCTGGAGTTCCCACAGGGCTCCCTAGGCTGCGGGTAGCAGCCTGCTGCCCGGCGTGCGGGGCGCCCTGAAGCAGAGCGCCCCGCGTGCCGGGCAGACATCGGCCAGCCCCACAAGCTCGGGGGACAGCGGGGAGGCGGAGCACCGCCATACCGCTGTTCCCCGACCTGGTTTGGTTTCCCTGACCTGGTTTTGGGGGGGAAATAAAGGGGGGGAAATTTCCTTTATTTCCCCCCCAAAAAACTAGGTGCGTCCTATGGGACAGAGCGTCCTATGGGACGAAAAATACGGTAAGTATGACTTGCTTTAGTTGGGATACAGCCCCATGATAAAGCAGTAGTCAAAGTAAGAGCACAGGTTTACAAGTCCATAATAATGTTGGCCAGTACACCGTCTCACATATATTTCAGGCTACTGATTTGCCATGAACTATAAAAAGAATGTTGGTTGCAAGGGAAAAGTATAGGTAAATAAGGAGAATTCCTGGACTCCCAAGATCCAGATTTGGAGTAGGTACTTTTTGGTGAAAGAACCCCAGCTGAGATTTAAAATCACAAAATATGCAGCAGCAAAGTAAAGCATGGAAATATAGCCTGTTATACCTTTAAAATATGATCTTGTGTGTTCCAAAACTACCCTCTTCCCCAGCATAGAAAAAGACCACACATTTGGTAAGTTAAAAATTGTTTACTTACAAATTCTCTAAAGGACATATTAATGTGCTTCTCCATACAGCATTCAGAAAAATTACACCAACAGTAAAGCTTGATTTCATTCCAAAGTGGTTAAAGTTTCTTAATTATTGGTATAGTAACTCAAGAGTGGCTTGTGAGAGCCATGCGGTCTGAACTGGAACAACCAGCTCAGACCTCATATGCTGAGTTCATCAGTTGGACTGAAGGGGAGCAAAGGCTTGATTACCTAGTTCCTCCCAAGGTGAGCTAAGCCTGACAGGCCAGCTTACTCTACTGTCAATCCCTTCATGCATGAATTAGACTTAAGCATGTTGGTTATATGGGTCTGTGCCATCTCTGGTACTGGAAGACATTTCTTTGCTGCCAGTCTTAGTAGATAGTAGCGGGCTGGAAGACATTGCTATATATCCTAATATATTCCAGCATGGTTCTGAATTCCTTATTGGCTTTTGCTTTGTCCTCTCAGCATTCAGCTATGATTCAGCTTCCTTAACTATGGTTTGTCAAGATGCCTGAATTCAGTAAGAAGCATGGATCATGTACACCTAATTCCTATTCTTAATAGCTGGCTTCTGATATTGGGATTTCTCAGGTGTAATGACTGAATGGCCAAATCATTCCATATGAGCCTTGGATTTACATGGTCCCCTTTTCCCTTCACTACCACCCATCACATGTGTGGGTTCTTTCCCTGACTACTTGGTTCATGCAAACTGTAGCTTGCAAAACATTTCCACTGAATGGGCAAACTATGGTTCACTTTTTTCCCTTCAAACCACAAATATGAACCAAGATTTTGTGGTAAGTGGGGAGAATCTGAGCGTGTGAGGAGGACAGGATAAAGGAGGAATCTGGCCCCAAGGGTGAGAACTGGTAGCTAAACTGACTTTGTTTCTACATCTGAACCATCCCAGTGTGAGAAACCAGCTGGTGAGAACAGGGTTTAAGCAGGTCTTCTCCTTGCTTCTGGCTCAATTCAGACATGGTGCCAAATCAGAGTGCATAAGGGGAGGAAGCAGTTTACAATCCTAAGGACGGCCAAGCTGTGGCTTGGTGTTACATGAGAACTGGCTCATTGTTGTCTTTAAAAACACACACACACACAACCCCGACTTTTGTACCTGATCAAGTTCTCCTGCAAATAATCCCAACTGTGTCCTCTCCTGCTGGGAATTTTCTGGACAGACCATCCCTTTGTTTTCATAGGTCCATCTAAGACAGTAATATATTTGGTCAGTAAAGACAAATATGCAAGTCTAAGATAACCCAGAAAAGTGCAGATTTTTTCTTAAAGCAAAATCTTTTCTCTGGCAGATTTCTTTCTTCTATTCATGCTGCTGCAGAGGTCTTCCTTGCTACACTTGTGTGTGTGTTTAAGAATAGTGGAAGAAAACTGCCCCCAGTCTTCCAGATTTTTGTTCTCCTTCCCTCATTTTCCACGGCTGAAAGGAAGATGGTAGAACCTCCCCACCAACCTGAACTTCTAAAGGCAGGACCTTAAATACTGCTCACAAGTAGCAAAGTCTTTTTCATGCCTTGTTAAACAGGTACTGTGTTAATTGGATTACAAATTGACTGACCTTATTGGAGGAATGGGCTTATAAATGTGCAAGCAGCCAAAGTAAGAGGGGGAAATCATTAAGATGTAAGAATATTTTCAGCCTGGAGATATAAAGGAAGGTAGATTGGAAGGAGCCATGCCATCTTCAATAACATCTTCACAAAACCTATTAGAGGAGGCAGTGCAACATTAGCAGAGCTTGGAGATACCTAGCAAGTTTTCAAAGTCAGTTTGGGTAAAGGTTGGTGGTTCTGTGGGTAGACCCAATTATGCTATACCCTAGTACCCTAGTAAAGTACCAAAAGTGATTCTGCAACAGGTGTCTGGGGGTGGGGAAGTTTTCTCTATCATAATCACTTGAGACCTGAATTGCATAAAATGTAGCTTAATCTTTCGCTCTTCTGTTAAGCACATGCTTTTAATCTTCTCTCTTGGCTTGGCTCAGAGGAGATTTCTCTTGCAAATCTCTAGGGATTTTCCAAAATAGTTAAATCTTTTTTCTTTCTTTCTTTCTTTTCACAAAGATGTGTTTTTGGTTGTTTTTTTACTTTTTCTTCAGTTTTCAAGCAAGTCTGATGAAGAGAGGAATTAAGAGAGCAAATCTCCTGTTTGTTAAATTACAACAAGGCTGACGTACAAGCTGCTTTCCCCTTGTGTTTAGGGGAGCCTCTTTGCCATTTCCCTGAGCGAGTGCAGTCAGGCTGCGCCTTCTGGAGCTATTGCATGACAGATAGTGGGAGATTCCCTTTCATTCAAGGCCCTGAGCAATTGCATTAAAGGCGCTTCTCAAACTGCCTGATTAGGCACCGCTGGAGCAAAGAGCGGCTTGGCAACATAAAGAGCACTGTTGAATCAGACCAAAGGCCTCACTTGTTCCAGCCTCCTGGGTGTCATGGTTTGTGTATGTGCATCTCCCCCGCCTTTGATAATAAGAAAGAAAATAGCTAATGTATCAAAGCCTGGGGTCCTAAAAACTTGATGCTGGTGCCTAGATATTGAAAATACTTGCATGTGGTTCGTGCCTCCCACTTCAAGAAAAGAGTTGAGACAGGGCTGGTTTCTTCAAATTTAGTGCTGAATGCCAAGAACCTGAAATGATCCCCCCCCCATTCTTGCCTTCCACTCTAAACAGGATTGGGAAAATTCCAGGTGCTTACATGTTGGGACAGATGCTTAAAATACGTGGCAGGGCTTGCCCACCCATGCCCTTCACAGCCAGCCTTGCTATATGGACAACAGGCACATAGTTAAGCAGATAAGTTGAGGGCTTCGCTTCACAACTGAGTATGGCAGTTGTGAGGGGGTGCGCCTGCATTGGTTGGTGCATGTCCCTTAAAATGTTTGAAATCAGTGGCCTAATCCAGGAGTTAGCAAGGTTTACCTCACCTGGGCCGGTTCACTCCAGCGGAGATCCCTCTGTGGGCTGCATTGCGCGAGCATGTGCGCCTGCGATTTCCGGCATCTGCGCAGACGCGATTTCTGGTGTCGCAGAAGCGAGTCGCCGCGTTGCGCCGGTTTAGCGGAGCGCGTGGGGACTCGCCAAGCAGGCGGCTCGGCTCGGGGGCCTGTTAAACGACCTCCGTGAGCCGCTTGTGGCCCATGGGCCTTAGGTTGCCGACCCCTGGCCTAATCCTTTCCTGGGGTCACAGTCCGGTTCACGGGCAATTGAAGTCCCGGCAGGGGACGTCAGGACCGGGGGCAAGATGGTGGGGTGGGAGCAGGAATGGGGATCCAGGAGTCAGGAAGCCAGGAGGGTTCTGAGGGTCAGAAAACCGGGAGTCAAGAAGCCAAGGGTCCGAGGATCAAGAAGCAAGGAGTCAAAGTCAGGGGTCCGAGGATCAAGAAGCAAGGCAGGGAATGTGTTGCTGTGGCAAAGAGCCAAAGGGAAAATGCTGACCTTACATCTCTTCCTGGCTCTTGCCGCCAGGTGCTGTGAGTTACTAATCGACCTCACCTGTGTGGCCACGCCTTGCCTCTTCAGAACAAACTTAGGAAGGCCCCAGTCCTGCAAAGTCCTATTTGTCTCAGGGCCTGGCTCCTGCATGCACACCTGACACCTGGGCTAAAGGTGGCATTTGTCAAAGGAGGGCTGGGATCTGATAGGTTTGAATAAGAAGTGCTAAAGTTCTGTCAGCTCTAGCTGGTAAGTTCACAAGCAAGGCAAGGTGGTAACAGTGCTATCCCTTGTGGGGGTTTGTCTTCCTCAGATGCTGTGAGAACTAGGAATTTGCTTTTTTGAAGAAGAGACCTGGGACCAGAGACTGGGTCTTGTTTGAAATGCCACATGCTGTACAGCACTGTGACTTGAATGTAACGGATAACACAAATGGTGTGGAGCGAACCATGGGAACTGAACTCTGGTTTAGTGGTTGGTGGGTTGCTTTGGGCAACTTAATTGTGTCTTGTGTCTAATATTTATAAAAACAGCTAAACTCTCCCAAGTGTTTTTATATTCTGTTGGAGATTGCGCACAATCTTTCTTGGAATTCTGATACAAGGGGTTACATAAATGTGTTAAACAAATAACCAACCTACCTCACATGGTTGTTGCAAGGGTAAATGAGTTGTGCGTAGTTAAGTCAATTCACAGACTTTTTTGTGACCTTCTTCTGAGCCTAGGTATTGTAAAATAAAGGGCTGAACTTCACAAACCCTGCCTCCACCTTTCTCCTCTCTTTGCCCCCTCCCTCTCCACCCATGTGTGTTGGCAGCTTGTGCTGAACACCAGTCTCTCTGAGTTGATCTGAGGACTGCGGTCAGAGCCAGGCTGCCTGTGCTGCTATATTGCAAAAGCCTTGTGTCAAGGTTGCTTGGAAACCGACTGAAAACTTTTGGCCTTTGCAGTTGTGGTGGCAACAGGGTTGAAAAGGGAAGCGGGGCGTCTCCAAGTTACTATTTGTTTCTCTCTGGTTTTTCCCCTCCCTCGCTGATGATACAGAGAATCTTTTTGCCGCTTTGGATTGCAGCTGTAGTTAGGGAAACCTGCAAAACATGCATGAGAAACGATGGCACGGAAGATAGTGTCATTTGTGCACTCATGAGATCATTACTGCTGTTCTTGTATGTTAGTTACTTCACAATATGACTACTACCCTTTTGGCTTTCGCTTGTGGTTAGTAATCCATACTTGGCCGAAAGCATGCATTGAAAAGCGGTGGTGAAACCAGCCCATCTGCTTCTCTTCAGTCACTCTGTCATACTCCCAGTCTTCATGGGTTTAAAGCAGAAATTCTCCAACTACAGGACAGGTTGAAGTTCCAGTCAGAGCTAGGATGCTGAGGAAGTTAGTGCCTTCCTCCTTATCAGTCAAGACCTTGGTAGATTTGTGGCACCTGTAAAACCCCATAATCCCATGATGGCTGGTTAAGAATGGGTTTCAGAAAGAGTTTCTGCTTTCTTCATCAGAATCCAGAAAGAGTCTGCGAGAGCCTGTTACATTTTTCTTCCACTGCCAGCAAGGAGCTAGCTACTCCAATCTACTGATTTCTGCATGTTCACTTGTAGAGCATACCCAAAGCAAAAACAGTAAGGAATGCAGCAGATGCAAGAGACCAGTTTGTTAGTCCTAGTATAAATTCTGATTCAATTAGACTTCAACGGGAGATTGAAAAAATAAAAGGAATACCTCTTATTTCTTGGAGCTTCTGAGGTGTTAGGCTCTCAGGAGCCACCAACTGGTCAGCTGTAGTTGGAATCAGAAGATCTGTGGCTCTTTTTAGAGCTGGTCCGCTAAGAAATGGCAATAGGCATGAGTTATTTCTTTTTCTTTGGGTCTCCTGGTGAACAGTGTATTGCCTGACATACTTACAGTATTATGCTACTTGCATGAATACATTTGTCACATTCACCTGTAGAAGAGATGATTTCCTGGGGGAGGGAAGTTTGCATAAATTTAGAAGGGGTGTCCAGAAAGCTCATAGTTAAGGAATAGTTAGACTGCTCTGAGTGACCAACACCAGCCACACTCAAGTTCGTCCCCCTTGTTTTGTTATTTTGCCAATTGTTTTCCAGATCACCACCCTTCCCACCAGACTTGGCCTTACTGGACACTTAGCATCTTAGCTGGGAAATGCTCAGGTTACAACTCCATCTGCATCTGCTATTCCTTTTTTGCTTCTCACTGGCGCACACACAGCTCCAGCTTAATTTGTGGCCCCAATGGAGTCCTCTACATTCCTCCATTCCTGTTCGGCTGGCCTTTAATGAATTCTGTTGGATGGCTTATCAGCTCTTAGATCTTGGCCGTTTTGCTTTACCTTCCTCTGAACTCATTTCTATTAGTACTTATTTCAACATCTGGTTTTCCTTTTGTAGTGTGGTGTGCTAGTTTGAGCCAAATGTTCTCATCCCTAAATTGGCGGTGGCCAACATGGTGCCCCCAAGATGCTCCCACTATCCTTGGCAATTGGCCATGCTGACTTGAGCTGCTAGGAGTTGGACTCCCAAAAGCATGGATGGCACTACTACGCTGACATGCTCAACCTGGCTGAACCTCAGGATGTGCTGGCTCCACCCCAGTCCACCTTCCTCCTTGTTTCTCTTATATCTAGCACAAGTCAAGTCCACAGGCTTTATCACTGAGCCACCCAGTCTACCTTGTTATGTTTATACCTGTCCCATCGATTTTCCCATGATGTCCTTATCCTCTCAGTTATTGCTGTTCCCTTCCTGCGAACAATGGCTGTCTCTATGCCATTGAGTTTTCAATTGGGAACAGTTTTATGCTAGGCTCTGATCCTCACCTTTTGTGCAAGGATTGTTTCGAATTAAGAAGGTGCAGTTGCAGGGCTTTTTTTTTCCAGCAGGAACTTGCCAAAACTCAGGTGGGCACCATTGTCATTATAAGAGAACAAGGGAGGTGTTCGTGGTGAGTTCCGGCACCATTTTTTCTAGAAAAATAGTACAGGACAGTTGTATGCATGATTACTTTAGGAGACTTGCACTTGCTAGCTTGTGTTGCATGTGCTTATCTCCCATCCCATTGTTGGTTGGTTGGTTTTCAATTGGCCCCTCTGTTCATTTTCCATCCTCCGCAGCAAGCCATGTTCTGGAAGTTTGACCTCCACACGACCTCTCATATTGACACCCTCTTGGAGCGTGGCAACGTGACCCTTTTTGAACTTCTGGATGAAGAGGATGTGCTACAGGAATGCAAGGTGGTCAACCGCAAGCTGGTGGACTTCCTGGTTCAGCCTGAGCACATGGAAGCACTGGTCACCTGCGTGACAGAGGAGCCCCCTGGGGACGTGGATGAGAGAGTACGATACAAGTAAGTTGTTTTGGAAGGGGGAACTGGATGAAAATGGAGCTTCTCTTATTTGTTTGTTTGATATGTCCAGAACAAAGAAGAAATGTGCCATGTTCATTTTTCCTCTCTTGGTTCTTTAATGATTCAGCTGCCCATGGGAGCGGGGTGGTAGAAAACTGCATGGTTGCTGCTTTTTAATTTTTTTAAAATGGGAAAAGTCAAGGCATCAGCTTTATTGAGATACCATGCTAAACTATAAATCCAAGGGATATCTGAATTGACAAACCATGATTTGCAGCAAGTTGGAAAACCATGATTGGAAACCATAGTTTCTTCTAACTGTGGTTTGGTGTGATTTAACAAACTGTAGTTACAAGCTGCTGCTCCATCTCCAAAGGCCACGGCATGTTGAGATGTGAGTTGTGAGCATATGGGAAATTGGAGCAGAGGAGCAGCTCTGAATGATGGATTGCCTGTGCATTCTGAAGCACAAACTATGGTTTGGCATTGGGTGGGCATATAACTCCAGGCTTCATAAACCATGGTTTCTCGTGCCAGAAGCAAGCATTGGGCCTGGGCACTAGCTCTGGCTTGGAGTTCCTGCTTAGCGTTGAGCCACAGTTCCTGTTCTGAACATGAGGGAGAATTCTGTTTTAAAACAAATTGGGCTCTCTGCACTGAAGCTGACCTACAAGGCGACTGGCAAGCGAGGAGTGTGCAGACTTTATGTTTGTTCCTAGATTAATAAACCATTGCTTATAAAGCCTGGAATGTTGCCTCCAAGCTGGCCCAGTACCTTCACTAATAGCAATATAGTTGTTCTATATTTAGACCATCTTGGGAATGAATGAAACCTGGTTGCTGTCAGAAGAAAGCGTTATGCATCAACTGAAAGGAAACTTAATAACTTAAACTTGAAAAGTTCTCTAGTGTATTTGTGCATTAAGCCATAGATGTCACTGCATCATAAATCTTCTAGGGTTGTAGCCAACTAAGTCTTTGAGTAGGAGTTAGAGAGGGAGGGTAGGTAGGCCTGTTGATCTGATAACAAAGCTGTGCATATATTCCATGATTGCTGTACGAGCTCTGAATTTTGATGATGTGTGCAGAATTTGGCAGTTTGAAAACCTGCTTCGATTAAAACAAACATGGAGCAGAATGAAAATAATATTGAAAGTACATGGTCAGTGCCTGCTAAAATTTCAGTAACCAAATAAGGGAATTGACACCTTTTCAGTGACTGATGGGCCAACGCCCTGTGTTCACCCTGGTCCTCTCTCTCTGACTTGAATAAATAGAATAAAGTATGTGGAATAAGGAAATCTTCCTGACCTCCTGACATATTGCACACAGATTGTAAGACCTGGCTTTTCATGGGGCTGAATTTGGGATTATCTTGCTGTAGAACATTATTTTGCCCTAAACTAAAACACAAATATGGTAGGTATCTCTTGTTTTGGAGATACTGATAAATCTTGCCAGGCAGGTGGGCCAGCACAGCCACACAACGTTCACTCAAAAGGAAGAGGCTGGTGGAGATGATTATGCAGCAGGTCTGGTTGTGTATTTGCTTTTTTAAAACTCTCTTATAGGTATCCAAGTGTGTCGTGTGAGATCCTGACATCAGACGTCACCCAGATAAACGACGCATTGGGGGAGGACGAGTCTCTCTTGCGGCGCCTCTACGGCTTCCTGCAGACTGGCGGTATCCTCAACCCGCTGCTGGCTAGCTTCTTCAGCAAGGTCATGGGGATCCTTATCAACCGCAAGACTGATCAGGTATCTTTGCACGTGCTCATCTCAGTTGGGCGCTATGCCAGTTTTAACTCTTCCATGTTTTTAAAAGATTGCTAATACTACTGCCTTAAATTTGCAGTGTGAATTTTTAAATGATGCTCTAGCAAAAGGCAGCCTTTAAATATTTTGATTAAATGTCCCTGTCCCCTAAATGGCTTCATGTGGCTCAGGGAACTTACTCCTGAGAATGCTCATTAGGTCCTCCCGAACAACTTACAGAAGCCCTAGCAAGTGAGCTCATTAGGAAATACGTGGTAAATATTTTCTAACTGCTACATCCTCATGTGGCAACACTTGATGTAGTCCACATGGGGGAGCCTATTGACTCTCAAGCATTTATTCGGAATCCCTGATGTGCTAAATACTAGCTGTCGCCATACAAAGATGCACCCTGAATTAGTATTGACCATGTGAAAATGATGCCGCAAAATAATCTCATGGTGACTTGAAGCATGTCAGAAATAAGTATCAATATTGGGCTTTTCAAGCTAGTGAATTTCAAGATGCATCTGGTTGATCAGCTTGTGAAATAGGATCCTGGACTGCATGGGCCTTCAGTCTGATTCAGCTGGGCTGCTCCTCTGTTCTTAATAGTTCTGGTATACATTCATTAAAAACCGTTTATATACTCTATGCTGCCTTCCTCAGAGAATCTCAGGGTAGCATACATGGTGTGTGTTCCTTTCTATCTTCATGGCCTTCTCATGATTTATGTTGGGTGAGTTACTATCCCATGGTCACCCACCAAGTTCTGTAGCCAAGCAAGTTTTTTTTTAATCCTTATGATGCCAAAAGTATGTGCTCAGATTGTTTTATTTTTAAAAAATAAACAGACTTGACCTTCCTGTCTCTTTCTGAAGAAACTCAAATTGGCTGACAGTATTTCTGTATTTATTGTTTTTGTATCTTGCTCTTCTTACAAGGAGTTTAAGATTGCACATGTACTTTTTCTGTCTTCCCCTCCCCCCATTTGTCCTCAATACAACCCTGTAAGTTAAGTCAGGCTGACAGTGAGTGACCCAAGATCCTCTAGTGAGCTTTACTGCTGAGTGGGAACTTGAACTCCCTCCCCAGTCCTAGTCAGACGCTTTGACCCAGGAACAGCCTAACTCAGGGATAGCTAATAACCATGCCATCCAGCAACACCTGGACTACAACTCCCATCATCTTTGACTGTCTGGCTTTGTTGACTGGGGATGATAGGAGTTGTAGTCTAACAAAATCTGGAATGCACCATGTTGCCTACCCCTACTCTAACCGTTGCACCACGACAATCTTGCAAAAATTCAAAACCTAATGATGAGACAGATGTCCAATACGGCCTTTACCTATTTAAGGAACTTGAACCCAATTGTAGACTGGCTCATAAGAAATGTATACCGTATCACCTTTCTGTTCCAAGGTTTGATTCCAGAGTCACCACAACACTGTGCAAGCTTACTTGAGATGACCTTTCCTTTCCTTTCCTTTCCTTTCCTTTCCTTTCCTTTCCTTTCCTTTCGTTTCCTTCACATCTCATCCCTTCCACCCCACTCACTTGCTCTGCTGTCTTCCAGATAGTTGCCTTCCTGCGCAAGAAGGACGATTTTGTCAACCTGCTGCTATGCCACATCGGTACCTCGGCCATCATGGACCTCCTGTTGCGGCTCCTCACCTGTGTGGAGCAGCCACAGCTCAGACAAGATGTGTTCAATGTAAGGGTCCTCCTGCAGGCACTCCTAACTGTCTCACCTTCCTTCCTCTTTCTTGAAATGGCAAGCAGCACAATTTCACATTCAGTCCTCAATTGTTGTGTTTGAACCTTTCATCATTCACAGAATGAAAGGTTTTAGAAACATATTTGCCCTATTCACTGGAACAATTAGAAGGGAAAGATCTGCAGTTCAGTAGGCTTAGCTGGAGAATATCTTCATTATTTCCCCAAATGCCCCTGATGTGATTCTTAGAAATGCTGGTGTTTGTGGCGCATTCAGTTTATTGTTCTTGTGGGTTCTAGTTTGCTTATCTCAAGAAGCAGTGTAAGAGAAACAGCTACCCAAATAGAAGTTTGCCCTTTTTTGTTGAAAGGTGATAAAGCAAATTTAGTCCATGTTTCTTTATTGAACATCTGTTCTGGAATTCAAGGTGCCACCCTTCAAAATGACTCCCTGCTCTATACCTCTGCACTGACCTCTGGTGTTCTCATAGGGGCTATGTGAATACATACCTGATTTCAGAATACTCTTGTTCTGTAGAATAGCCAACCCTAAGTTGGGAAGCTTGTCTCTCACAGCAGCATCCTTTGAAGGTCTTGTGTTTTGAGGGCTTCCAAAGTCCAAATTGCATGGCATTTACCAATAAGATTTCAAGGATACTGGTTGAACCTTTAGAGAAACAATGGGGCACAGAGGTCAGCACTGTAAGATAAAATTGAATGCATATGAGTGCAATCTTCTGTCCCTGGGAGGTTTTGGTTGGTAACTGGAACAGGAGTGAAATATACTTGCTTAACCTTTCCATCCATGTTCATTTCACCCCCTCCCCTCAATCAAAAGTGGCTTAATGAGGAGAAGATTGTGCAGAGGCTCATTGGGATGATCGACCCTTCAAAAGACGACAATGTAAGTATTAAATGTGTCCTGGGGCTCTTCTGCCTTCCATTGGAAAGAATGTATGTTTTTGTGTGGGATAGGTGGGTGGTCAGGGCTTTGAACTTCTTTCTGTTAGCTGATCGCAGTAGGAGCCAAACATGCTAGACTGCTTGTGGTGGAATTAAACAGGTGTATTTCATGCAGCCTAATCCCATGCATATTTCCTCCCATTGCATTCAATGGGATTTTTCTCCCAAACAAATGTATCTAAGATTGCAGCCTTAGTGTCCACAAGATTATTTTGTGATGATGATTATTTTGAAGTCGAGCTTAGTGAAACCAACCCCGACTGGTATTCAAAATCAAGCAGACCAGTGGCACTTATGCATGCCTTGGTCGTTTCGTATTCTAAACATGGTATCTGGAGATTTTATAGCATTTAAGCTATTAAAGAAGGAGCATGATGCCATCCTCTGTGAGGATTCAGGAGCAGTCTATCCAATTGTGCAGAAAGGTGAAGCATCCCTTCTGCAGGTGGGAGAAGGATGGTCTACAATCATGCTATAAACCTTCAAATGTCCTTTTGCTATGTAAATAAACTGCTCAGAAACATAAGCTGGTCCAAAATACAGTAGCAAGGTGACTAAGTGAGCCTTCCACATTTTTGTTTTGTTTTTGAAAGACTGGTGCTAAATTCTGTTTGGAAGCACACTGGGAAATAAGGTATAAGCTTTGGCCTATAATGCCATAAACAGCTTGGCACCAGATTATCTGTAGAATGTGCTCATTAGATTTAGCTTATAGTGGGAGGGCCCCTCCATCAGAGCTTAGACAGGTATCAACAAAGATGCAGAGTCTTTTCCGTGCTGGCACCCTATCTTTGGAGTACTCTTCCCAGAAAGGTTCATTTGGCTCCTATACGCTTTGCTTTTCGGTGCCAGGCAAGAACTATTTTAGTCTCTCAAGACCTTCCTGCTGATGACAGTTCCTTGCTAGGCTTGCTCTTTGTTTTGAGGTGTCTGGTGTTGATGAGGTTTCTATTGTTTGCTGTCCTTAATACATTTGTCTTGTGGTTTATATTGTGAGCTGTATTGGAACTGTAAGGCGGGGTAGGAAATGTTTTCAGCAAATAAAATTACTGAAGTTTGAGCACCTTCCAATGATTATTCTCAGATTGCAAGTAAGACAAGGTGGCATGTAACCCTGGGCTTTAAGGCGATGGAGGGCAGCTAAATAGACTGCATACCTGTCTTTAGTTTCAAGGGTAATCCTGTGGGAGGACAGCATCCAAAGGGAAAGTGTGATCGGTTAAATATGGGGTTGTATCCAATTACGGTGTACTCATTGTAAACCGACTGATGCTAATGAACCTTAGTCAGGTTTAATGGGTCTACTCTGAGTAGGGCGAGCATTTGATACAACCCACAGTCTCCAAGTGTGTCAAAGTATTGCTTCCTCTAGAGCAGGTCTTAATTCATTTTCTCTCCTTATCCCTGCTACACAGCAGCATTCCAATGCTTCACAGTCCTTGTGTGACATTATCCGGCTGAGCCGTGAGCAGATGATCCCAATCCAGGACAGTCCTGAGCCCGACCAGCTACTGGCTACACTGGAGAAGTGAGTACCAAGCCAGTAGTAGCACTGGCAGTAGGGAATAAGAGAGAACCTTAGGCCAGGCATAAGGGTTGTCTCAACTAACACCGATAAAAATTTAGAAAAGGGGGGGGGAATGTAACTCTCATCTGCTTGTCAAGATTCTTCTGATACTGAATTCCGGACTGCATTTTCAGTTATAAATGTTTTTTAGATTTATTTTGGTGGGCATGTGGACTGAAACTAACCCACATGGAGTAAAACCTTTGTATTTTGGAGGTTTTTTAATTTTTGAGGTTCGTTTTCTTATTTAGATTTTGTATAATGTGTATTTTGATCTTTGGAAACCACTTTGACATCTAGATGGTGAAAGTGGGGTGTAGTTTTTTTTTAATTAAAAAAATATTTAATTAATGGAATGTTGTTCAAATTTATTCAGCAAGACTATTACAGTCAGCATTCAATAATTTACCTCTTTAAACTGGCCCAGCCTTGCTTCTAGACCTGCTTGCTATACAGCAATGCCTCACCTGGTGCTGAGGTGCAGCAGTCCGCTTATCACAAACTGAGGGGCCCCTGCCTCTGACAAGGATGTGGCTGTAAATATCAGATGGGTCTCACCTCCCTCCAAGTTATTGTTAGTTGCTATTACATTTTTCTTTTTTATCATATACTTGTGCTGTTGCTAAGTTTTTAAAAAAGACGCAGAAGCAGCGTCTGAGAGTGTCAAGCCATTTTAATAACCAGTTTCAATTCTTGTTCGTGTCAAGGCAGGAGACGATTGAGCAGCTGCTAAGCAATATGCTGGATGGAGAACGGAGCGAGTCTGTCATTGTCAATGGGATCCAGGTCTTGCTGACCCTGTTGGAGCCGCGCAGACCCAGGTGTGTGGGGTGGGTCTTATACACGCACAGGCAGAGGTTGTAATGCAACAGGTGCATCCTGTTTGCAGTACAGCAATGTTGCATCCTGATATCCACTTTCCCCCTTTAAAAACAAAAACACCTAAGCCCCTGAAGGTTGTGGTCAAAACAGATATGCCAGGTCTTTTAAAAAATCTCCAGTAAATCTGGATGCAGCTGTGTAGGGAGGTCAGGGCTTCAGGATCTGTCGCCTAGCTTTTGGCTTTGGAAATGATTTCCTGATCCTGTTGGCCATCGGGCTCCAGCATCCATATATTTCACTAAACGCGTTTTCCCTTTCGCTACTCCCAAGTCTTAAAAATAAACGCAACCTTTTCCCCTCAAGTAGTCCCAGCCCCCTCCAACAACATGAATCCAGGAAGCAAAATGGATTGCGCCAAAGGAGGAGAAAAGGATTCAAAGCACAGTGCACAACACCTGACTTGATTGGCATAATTTATTCAAACAATTTGAGTTTCCCTGGCATAGAATTGAGGTAGCTGAGGTTTGTCCTTTGCGGAAGCCCTTAGATCTGGATGTTGAGACATGCTGGTTGCTCTTGTTCTTCTTTGCAGGACAGAGCTGGGCGGCATGGGGGGCTTTTACTGCAACCTGGAGGGGCAGATGGAGATGACCGGGCCCAACTGTGAAGTGGCTTCAAGCCAAGCCAGTCTGGGCACTCTGCTTGCCATCAAACAGCGTCTCAGGGAGCTTCACCAGCTGCTGCTTGACCCACCAAAGGTTGGTTTGTGTGTGCACTTGCTTCGATGGCATGGAAACGCTGGGGGGATTCCAGCAGCATGCTTGGCCTTAGGGCCATTTCAAGAGTTAATAGTATTCTGTGGGTGCAAAGGGTCCAAGCCCCTCTGTCTGGTGTGGGATCCTCAAGACAGTGCCCTCAAACAGCCTCCCCCAACCTGGTGCCCCCCAGATGGTTATGTACTAAAACTCCCATCAGCTCCAGCCAGCACAGCTGGGGGGTTTGTAACCCATGACCATCTGAAGGGTACCAGGTTGGGCTCGTTATAGGCAAGGGGGCAAAATCTAAAAATTCCATGCTTACAGTTTATCCTGAATTTATCCTCTCTCGGCGGTTGGAGTCCCTTCTCTGGCACAGCCCAGCAGTGAGGTGGGAAGGGAGTGTTGAGGTGTAATAGGGGCTTGTGATGGACCTGGAATGCTCTCTCTCCTTGCTCTCTCCCTCTGGCAGAAAGAGTCCCTGCAGACGACGTGGGGGATCTTGGACCCTCCGTTGGGCAACACACGCCTGCACGTGGTGAAGCTGCTGGCCAGCTCATTGGGCACCAACAACGCAGCACTGCAGGATGAGATTATAGAGCTCGGGGCCCTCGACACAATGTTGGTGAGTAGCAGCACGGCACCCGCTGGCTGTGGCCTCAGACACTCCTCTCCCAGGGTAGCATAGGCATACGTTTCTAGGAGCTGGAAAAGTTTGTTAGGCTCTTTTGTTTTATCAGGGGTGGGGAGGAAGAGCAATACTTCTGGAAAGCATGTTGTCTTTGCAGTATTTGCTCGATGGACAATACCAAGCCCTAGCATAGAAAAAAAAAAGACTTGTCCTGAAATGATCGTGTAAATAACAACAAAGTTGTATTTTAGAAAGAAGCTGCTGCAAAAAAAATTCTAGGGAGATTGCCTAATTTCAGTATTCTTAGTTGACAGATTCAAAGTCATAGTACAAGAAATAAAAACAAATCTGCCCAGTTAATTGTGGGAGGGGGTTTCTTTTCTTACTAATGAAAACATGTTTTAACTGATTTAATGTTACTGGTGGTTTAACATTTTCAAGTTTACAACACTGGTTTTTTTGTGTGACAGTGGTATTTCAAAAAGTGGCCAATTCTTAATTTGGGTGAATGTAATCAGTCGTACTATTTAGACAATATCAAGTGCTGATTGACTATATTTATTTATTTAATCATTCATTCGTTCTCCTTCTCTCTCTTTCTGCCAGGACCTCTACTTCAAGTACACATATAACAACTTCTTGCACGCTCAGGTGGAGGCCTGCCTTAGCAATGTTTTCACTTCCCATGCTGGGGATGAGACCATTGAGAACCACTCAGAGCCCCTCCCAGAGAACCCTGTCATCCAACATGTAGGTTTTGGTTGTGGGGTACCCTTGGTTTCAAGCTCTCTGTATGGGTTGGGGCATGAATTGTTGAAGAAAGGAGCAGAAGGTTGTGATCCCACGTGAAAAGTGGGAGATAAGAATTGAGGATCAAGCCAGTTTTCATGGCTAAGAAAACTACAGTGAGTAGAATAGGGTTGAAAGTGGTTGTCTGGGCTTAGTTGATATTAACTGGATTGTAACCCGCCTTGGGAATGGACTAGCTGGGAAAGGCTCCCACTGTTTGACATCCAGAATCTTCTATCTGCAGTTTTCTTCAGTTTTAGCAGAAACCACCAACACTTGTCTAGATTTTACTGTACACCAGTGAGGAGCAGAAATCTTTTAAACTGCAAGGTTGAAACCTTTTGGGTTCTTGTTAAGAAACTGGAATCCTATCATTCTTAGTGAAATGTGGTGTTGATGTTCCGGCATCCCTTATGTGATGAGCCCCTTTGTGCTCCTCCCTGCAGTTGCTGCAGAAGTGTCGCTTAATCCAAAGAATCTTGTCTGCCTGGGAAGAAAATGAGCTATCACAGTGAGTACTGGGGTGTCTTGGTTGGATTTTCCTCTCCCCATCTTCCCTGGTCTCGAACCCTCTCCCCTGGAAGAAACCCAGTGCCCTGGGTAGACCCAGACATCAATGGCAATCTAAGATTCCAGAAAACAGAATCTCCAAACCATGGCATTCAGCAATTTTAGGAGTGCATTATAATGCCACATAACACTGGGGTGGGCAGACCCACTCCTGGAGTTCTTTCTGCTCATTCCCTGATGCAGCCTTCCTCAGCCTGGTACCCTCCAACCCCACTCCCTTTCAGCCCAAGCCAGCCTGGCCAGGGGTAAGGGGTTATGGGAATTGTAGTTCAAAATATCTGGTTCGGGTAGTCTGTCCTTCAAGGCTCTTTTGGCTCATAGTGTTTCATGGGGTGCTTGCTAGCATCTTCCATTCCTTAAGGTCCTGACCTCCTGATCAGGATACTTTTACTCCTCCATGCACCTGGAATATTCCTGCTACTGCTTGTTAAAAAAAGTGTGTGTGTGTGTGTGTGTGTGTGTGTGTGTGTGTGCGCGCGCGTGTGTGTGTGTGTGTGTGTGTGTGTGTGTGTGTGCATGCATGCTGCTGTAACTCCTTCCAACAACCTCTAGTCTTCTGTGGGAGTGTGCTGAGATCAATCCATTCTACAGTTCAGGGCAATAGTCTGACTGTTCCTTCTGGTCATCCCTTATGCATAATCAAGCCAGTTTGTCCAGCTTCAACCTACAAAGGCCATACAGATTCTAAAGCCTCCCATTCCTCTGTCATTCCACCTGTGCCTTTCATTTCCTAAGGGACATGGCCTGCAGGAACCATGAGTCTCCATCCTCTCCCATCTTCTGTTGCAGGTCTGATGGGGGAAGACGCAAGGGCTACATGGGGCATCTTACCCGCATTGCCAATGCCTTAGCTCAAGCCTCAGAGAAGTGGCCCCACTCCACCCTTATCAAGCAGCTCTTGAAAGGTAATGGGTTTGGCAGCTCCAGGGAGCGGGGGTTAGGGTCATGTGCCTTACATAGGGTCCGCTCAAATGATTCTTGAAGGCTTGAAGCATAGGCTCTTTGGCTCATGGAAGCATTCTGGGAATTCCACTGCTCGCCTTTTCTGGTGGGAGAAATAGGGGGCTCATCTCTGTGCTGGAATGCCGCTGAGTCTGGGGTAGGATGTGCTGTTTATATAGGGAGTTTCCATCTGAGCAGGAGCTGGAGATCATTGCCTTTCTAGGTCTATTCTTCAGCCTTAAGAACCCAAGTTAAAGAAAACTGGGTTTATATAATTCTGCAAATGTTCATACCATGGGTGTGTATTTGTTTAGGTTTGGAAATCTGCATTCATATTCATTGGAGACTGGGAAATTAGAGTTTTTTGGGGAGGCAGGGAGAAAGTCAGGGCTATCACGTTGATTGTGTGTGAGTTCTGCTAAATGAACCTTGTGGGGCAGCTTATTTGTTCATATGGCTGGAAACCCAAGTTGGAAATGGTTGCTACATTTTTATCCAAGGAGTTGAAAGCGGTATATGTGGTGCCTGCCCCCAGCCCCATGTTATCCTTACAGCATCCCTGTACGGTGGGTTAGACTGAGAGAGAGTGGCTGGTCTAAGTTCAGCCAACAAGCTTCATGGCTGAAAGGGAACTTGAACCTGAATCTCTGCAGAATTAGGGTCCAGTGCTCAACACGCTACCTGATCCTGTCTTCATGGCTCAGTAGTTGTAACAAAGTGCTTTTATTGTTTTGGGCCCATAAGAGGCATTCATGTCAAAATCATGAAAAATTGATGGGCTCTCCTTTTTCTGTTGACACCACTTGATTGTGTCTGTATTGGGAAGATGGGGAGGGCAGACAGAAGGCCTGATGGCTTGCTCTGTTATTTTTACCTCATGGAAGAGTGTAAAATCCTCCCCCCCCCCCCATAGTTCCTAGTATGCAATTGCTGATCTCATACCATCCATACTTATAAAAGAAGCTTGTGGCATTTTGAAGACTAAACAAATCTATCATGCCATAAGCTTTTCTGCATCAGAGTCCACTTCATCCATTGCAATATACATTGCAAGCATTTCTCCTAGACAGATACTTGGTCTGATCCTAGATGACTTTAAAAGGGAATTGTTAGACTGATCCATGAAGTAGAGCTCTGTCAATGGCTGCTAGCCATGGTAGCTTATATATAGAAACTTTATGTTCAAAGGCAGTAGCAGTTTGGGGGAGGGGGGCTTTCTGGAAAAACATCTCGTAAACCATTTCATAAACTGTTGCAGCCTTCTTCAATCTGATGCCCCCATCAGCCCCGGCCAGCACAACCTGACCCTATTATTTCAGGAGTGGGGTTGAGCTTCCATTTCAAAGACATGAAATCCTGTTCCTCTCCCCTTATACCTTCTCTTGGAACAGGAAGTAATGTTAAACAAAATTTCATGTGCTTGGAATGGATTCGGGCAGCTCACACATGGTGAATGAGCTTGACCTCACTCAGTGACAGCTACTGCTTTGCACACATTTGGAAGAGATCAAGCCAACTTGTGGTGGAACATTCAAGTGAGCATCCTGAAGAGAATTTGTCAAATGAAGCAAATGTAATTGGCTAAATTAATGTTTAACTGCTTGCATAATTCCACTTGCTGTGAGCTTTCATAATGATTTATTAACTTATTGGATCCAGAGGGTGGTTTATTTTTATACTGCTTTTCATCCCAAATTCCTCCAAACTAGGGTAGCTAAGGTCCTCTGCTGATCTTGGTCTTGGTAAGAAGAGAGAAAGGGAACTGGTGGGTGACACAGCTGGGGAAAGGGAATGGAGATTTCTTCTGGTTGATGGGAGGTGTTCCTTGACTTGAAGCTATCATTCGTGTGTGGCCGCTCCCTCTTGTATTTTGCCATCTCCACTTGCTACCACAATGTGTATCATAAAGTAAGGTCCTTCTGCCATCTCACCCACCTGAGCTGACATGTTCCACTTTGCAGAGCTGTCTGAGGAGGAACAGGAGCAGTGGGAGAAGTTTGTCTCAGGGCCCTTGTCGGAGACTAACAAGAAGAACACTGTGGATCTTGTGAGTCCCCTCTCTTTGTGTCTTATGCTCCAGCCACTCCTGATTATAAAATGGTTGGCAGGGTTCTGGAAAAGGTACTACAAGAGAACGGGAAAACGGTCCCCTTTCTTTCTGCATCCATCGGAGCGCTCTCTGTTACTGTCACATGCCACATGTACTAGGTTTTACCACTGCCATTGGAAAAATGAGCTTTGGGGCTCCAGAGTTAAGCACTTGGTTTTTGGTTAAAGGGCTGCTTTTCCAGCTGGCCAGAGTCTGCCAAAATGCTTAGCTTGGCTGACGGCAGTGGAATTGGTAGAACAACTACAACTCCCATCAGCCCTATGGCCAATGGTCAGGGGTGATGGGAGCTGGTCTGTCAACATCTGGAGGGTCACAGGGAATAGTAGGTTCTATTAGCTGATTCTCTGGGGCTTGGCCACTCAGTCTTTGCCTTGTACTTTATTTTGTTTTATTCCCGTTGGAAGACTCACTTAATGGATTCCTTCATCTTCCTTTCCTTCAGGTTAACATGCACAATCTCCACTCGTCAAGTGATGATGATGAGAACGACCTCAAGGAGTTCAGCTTCCCTCAGGAGGCTGTCCTGCAGCAGGCAAGTGCAGCACCTTCCAGTTGTGCCCCCTTGTCTTGCCAGGGCTGGAACCATGCCCACCTGTGTGCTTGCTTAGAAACCTAGAACAATTTCCCCATCCAGAAGCAGGAGCAAGGTCTAAAATTCTTAGGCCTGCTTTGGTCGCTTCCCCTGATTTTCTTCTTTCTTTTCCACAAACTTTAATTTGTATCCTGCCAGCCCCATTCCTCACCCCCTTTACTGTATGTGGCATTCTGTTCTCCTAGTTGCCGCTTTTGGTACTTTTTTGTTGTCTTCATGAGTTGCTTTGTACACAGCTTTGTATCTCTTACCCAGAAAAGTGGGTTACAAAGTGATACAATATGAAACAGCTAAACGAAATGCTGGGCAGATGCCGCTTGTCATCAAGCAAATGATATTTGGGATGAGCTCCTTCCTGTAAGCTGAGTTCAAACAGGGTTCACTTGGCAGATTTGGATTAGGAGTTTTTCTGGGGGTGGGAATGACTATTGTATTCATGTGTTCTCATACAGCATTTAGGTAGATCCATTGGGCCTAGTAAGTTTCTCCTCCTCTCTCTTCCTATACCCTTCCCCCCCCCCCATATTTCCATTTGAACTGTAATTCACATTTTCCCTCATTTCCTTTTCCTCCTCCTCTTTATAGGCCTTTGTAGATTACCAGCTGCAGCAGATGACTTCAGCGTTCATTGACCACTTTGGCTTTAACGATGAGGAATTTGGCGAGCAAGAAGAGAACGTCAAGTTAGTGACTCGGTTCACGGCCTCCCCTTTCCTCTCCCCTTTGATGTGCTTGTGTGTCATTGTCTTGTTTTTTACTTGCTCTGTGCTCTTTTGGCTGAGAATAAGTATAGCCTCCAGTGGGAACAATAGCACGCAGCATCAGGGGGGTTTCTGCGTTGTTCCGGCAAGGAAGCATGCTTGTCCTGCGGGACTCACAGTCAGAACTCTGGATGGGGTGAAGTGTCCATAACCCCACATGGGATTGCACCTGCTCGGGCTGGCAGTGCGTGGAGACACCTGGCCTCATTTGTACTTGCCAACAAGAAAGAGATTATTCACTGGCCTGCCGCAAAATCTGGGGCGCATGTTATTTGCATGCACTTGCACACGGCACTTGGTGCCGGGCGTTTTGTCCTGGAGTAAGAAAGATGCACAACGTAGACCTGGGAAGGGACATGTGGTCTGTGGCCTCTTGTCCTGAAGTTCTGCCTATAGGAGATGTTAGAGGCTCATCCTGAGCAAGGGGCTGAGGTCTGTAAGCCAGTGTTGCTTGTCTTCTCTTGAGAAGGCAGGTGGAGGGCCCAGGAAGCAAGGGGAGACATTTCCAGCCTTGTCTCAAGCCCCTATTCTTTTGATCATTGAAAAAAAAATGGATCATGAAAAGAGCCCTAGTGGGTCAGACCAAAGGCTGTTCTTGTTCAGCATCCTGCATCCCTTTCTGGCCATTGAGATGCTTCCGAGAAGCCCACAAGCAGCGCAGGATAGGTTCCGTCAGCCATTTGGAATGGAAGGGTGACTAGGTTCTTTGGGAGGAAGAATGAGATTTCTTCCAGACCCAGCTACCACCTGAGTCTCTGGCTCCAAACGTGTTTTGCTCAATTCACTAACTAGATCATCTTGCCTGGTAAGGAGGAAGGTGCCTTGGATTCCTGGGTCCTGTTACCATCTAAATATTTAATGTTCTCAGCAAAGATTGCCCAAGAGTTTGTCCTCTGCCTCCCCTCCCCCCTTTTTGGCAACAGCTTCAGCATGAATCCCATCTTTCCAAAGGGCTGAAATAGCGCAATAGAGGGAGTCTAGGGTGACATGGAGAATTCGCTCACCCCACCCCAGGGCAGTCTTTCTTTTCCCAGCCCCTCTGATTTCATGTGTCTGCCTCTCTCTCTCTTTCTCTCCCTCTCTCCCTCTCTCTGCCTATCTGCCCTGCAGTGCTCACTTCCGACAGCTGAAAAGGTAATGCCTAACACGCTGCTATGCTCCTCTCCAGCCACAGGCGGGGGTGTTGGGCTACATCCGTCCCCCGCATCTGTGCAGTGCCACCTACCTCTTCCCCGGTTAAGGGTGCACCACCCAAGCAGATCAGACTAGAAGTGAAAGCCCAGGTGTATTCTGCATGCGCACATATTGAGCTTCCCTCTTGTATGTGTGCTTTAAAGTATAGCTTTGTGCCCTGAACCCTTTGGAAATAAGATGGACAAATCAACAAGGGCATGGAAAAAACACTGGTAGCTCGGTTGGTAGAGCACGAGACTCCTAATCTCTAGGTCATGGGTTTGATCCCCACATTGTGCAAAAGGTTCCTAGATTCTACAATTCTGTGGCTGGTAGAAGCCTGGGGGGCCTCTCCTCTCCTGACAGCAGCTCACGGGTGTTTTAGTTCTGGCTGCCGCTATGGCTGTCCCTGCCATTATGTAGATAATACCGGGAACAGAAAAGGGATCTGAAGCTAGTTCTAATTATGGGAAGTGTTCAGAGGCAAAGCGCACGCTAGCTTGGGGATTCTGTCCAGGTGGGAGAGGCGGATCTGTGAAAATGCTCATGTGGGGAGAAGTCGCCTCTCTATATGAACTAAGATGTCCTTAGGCAATCCGCTGTCTCTGTCTCATGCCACCACTCCCACCCCCAATCTCCAATCTCTTGAGGTAAGAGCAACTTAATTTGCATGGCCCCGCCTAGTGGAGCAAGTGGGAGGGGCAATCCTCCCGCAAGAAAACAAAGCTTCGCGGTAGGTTCAGTGCTACATTCTTTCCCAAACTAGGCCTTGGTCCTTTCCCGTGCCTACATGCAGTGACGTTCCGACCTGCTTCTCTTGTTTTCTTCCAGTGCTCCCTTTGACAAGACGGCCAACATCACCTTCTCCTTGAATGCTGACGACGACAGCGTAAGAGCCGCTCCTCTAGAGCTTTACTCCTCTTTGCTTCCCCTCTGCACCTGGCCTGGGCTCTGATCCATCTCTCTCCTCCACCCCTTTCTCACAGCCCAACTCCAACCTCTTCGACATCTGCTACAAAGAGCGCATCCAGCAGTTTGACGATGACGACGAGGCTGACGGTTCAGACGGGGAGGACATCTGGCAGGAGAAGGAGGCTGCTGTCTCTTCTGGTATGGCACAGCCTGCCACAGTCAGGTAGGAGATGATCCCCTGCCCAAAGACCTCCTGGCGCTCCTGGGGTTGGCCAAATGGGCTTTGGACTAAAGGTGCCAATTGGTTCCTTTCGCTCTTACTTTCCTCCCTTCACACAGAAGAATTTTCCTTTGTGTTCATCGTGCTCACTTTGATTTTCATAACCTTCTTCCAAGCGCACTTTATGCATTTAATATTTGTAAAAAATATTTATATACCACCTGGTACAATCTGCCTTAAGGTGGTGTACATGAATTTAAAGTGTGTTAAAACAATCAGAACAGTGAATAAGATGCAGCTGGTAAAGTGCAACATTGACTGACTCCCCAAGAGTAAATACCAGAGTACAGGCCTTTTTCTTTCCCCTAATTTTATTTATTTATTTATTTATTGAATTTATTGAATTTATATGCCGCCCTATACCCAGGGGTCTCAGGGCAGTTCACAGAATAAAATCAAGATATAAAACCACAAAATACATAATAAAAATAAAAACAACAACCCAATAGCACCCCCCCCAAAAAAAACACATTTTAAAAGGGCATAGGATGTCAATCAGATCAACCAAAGGCATTGTTAAAAAGGAATGTTTTTGCCTGGCCTAAAGGCGTATAATGAAGGCGCCAGGCGAACTTCCCTGGGGAGAGCATTCCACAGACGGGAAGCCGCTGCAGAGAAGGCCCAACCTCGCCAATGAACTAGTATCAATGAACTCATATTTCTCCTGCTTTGACTCTTATAAAATTAGCTTTCATTGTCTTGTTACGTCCTGTGTAAAGTGCACTTTTCTCAGTTGTTGTCGTCCTGTTCTTTCCCCTCCCTTTTTGTGTCCTGTCTCTTTAAATCAGCCTTCGGCCATGCTGGCTGGGACTGATGGGAGTTGTAGTCCCCAAACATCTAAGGGGCACCAGGTTGGTGAAGACTGCTTTAGTTGGACTCTTTAGACTTGCTGTGATAGGGCTTTCTGCTCATAGGGAAGAGGGCATCCTCAAATGGGGAAGCAGCCCTCTCCCACCCGCTTGCCTAGGCAGGACTTCTAGAAGCTGCTTTCTCTTTCTTTCGCAGGTCTGCTTTATTACCTAGTTTTAAGTCGTTCGGTCAAGGAATAAGGTGGCTACTTCGTGGCTTTCCTAAGCCCACAAGGGCTTCATTTCTACAAAGCCTTTTCTCCTTCTGCCAGGGCCTAGCTGGTTTCTAATTTGTAATTTGTACAGTACTCAGCACAGCCTAAATTGCTTAATAATTTATAGCACTATTATTAGTAGTAATGAAATCCTGTACTGCGATGAATTGGTGTCCAGTATCTGCCTCTCTCTTCTAAATGTACGTGGCCAGTCTCTTAAGTCTGCTTCTCCCCACTCCTATTTCCCAGCCATTATTTGTCCCCCTGAAGATGGTCTCTGTTTTATGCCAATTATATGTTCCTTTGGGGGATCTGTTGTCCCGTTCCCCACCCCCACCCCCCCCGCTTACCTAGTCTAATAACTCTAATACTGAAGGCCGGGTTTTACAGTCTCTGCTCTTTTGGTTTCATTCTTTTTCTCTTTTTTGCAACAAGTGGGATTTTTCTCACTGAATGAGAGACCCTGTTTTGTTGCCTGCATCTTATAAAAGCCCCGTGGAGCTCCTGCTTTCTGTCTGTCTCTCTCTGTACTTTAGCTTGTTGGGAACCTATTGGAGGGGTAGGCAATGGATTTTCTTTCAGATGTGGTAAACTTTAACTGCTAGCAGCCCCAGCTAGTGTGGCCAATGGTATAATGGATGTTGGGAGCTTCTGTCCGAAACACGCCTTCTCCATTAGCATTTCCAAATGCAATGGCCTTTTTGAGGCCAGTCTTGGCATTGCCAGAAATTAACTTCCTGATCTTTATGCTTGAATTTTCTATCATTGCTAGCTAGATCTAGGAATTTTCCTTTTCATCAGCTACATCTAGGAATTTCTCTTAATAGCCCGCCCCCCAAATTACTTTATCCTATCAGATTGTTTTCTTTCCATTTCCTTGTGAAGAAAAGAACTGTTCTCTTTCACAGCCCTGGCCTCTTCTCTCCTCCTGGCATTTCAGTTAGTGCTTGAAGAGTGTCTGGCAGCATACAGGTTTTGTATAGCGAGGACCCAGGCTGAATCCTCAGAACCTCCAGGGCAGCGGTTCTCAACCTGTGGGTCCCCAGATTTGTTGGACTACAACTCCCATCATCCCTAGCTCGCTGGCTAGGGGGACTCACAGGTTGAGAAAGGCTGCTCCAGGGGAAAGTACCTTGCGTAGCAGGGGTTGGAGCCCAGGACCTGCTGCCAGTCAGAGTAGGTGAATACTGGGTTAGAGGGACTCAGTGGTCCATCTTCGTATGAGGCAGCTTCATGTGTTTCTGGTGCGGAGAGAGGGGTAGTATCTCCCATTTGTCCAACAGGGTTGGGATGGAGAAACTTGCCTGCTGTGCGCATGATCTGAAATACCTCTCTTCCTTTCTTCCCCTCCTCCCCTTTTCGTTTTAAGCAGGAGCCTTGGCAGCACAGATAGTGAGGACAGTGAAGACTCAGAAGAGGGAGAAGGAGGCGAGGAGGAAGATCCCGGTGGGGGAGATGGAGATGCCACACATGTCAGCAACGGTTGTGGTGAACAGACGGAGGTGGAGAGAACATTAGGAGGTCAGGGCTCCAGAGAGACCCATGTGGTCCGAGGGAGGGATTTGGTAGAGGGTGAAAGAGAGGCTTGTCACATCTGCTTATTGACTTGGGGATGCTCCGCTACAAATAAGGAACAGCAGAATCCAACACAGACAAGCTTTGGGAGTGGGAGGGAGCTAGCAGCATACCAATTCTTAGCCACATGGGGAAATACCGTATTTTTTTGCTCTATAAGACTCACTTTTTCCCTCCTAAAAAGTAAGGGAAATGTGTGTGCGTCTTATGGAGCGAATGCAGGCTATGCAGGTATCCCAGAAGCCAGAACAGCAAGAGGGATCGCTGCTTTCACTACGCAGCGATCCCTCTTGCTGTTCTGGCTTCTGGGATTCAGAATACTTTTTTTCTTGTTTTCCTCCTCCAAAAACTAGGTGCGTCTTATGGTCTGGTGCGTTTTAAAGAGCGAAAAATACGGTGATTTATCTGAAACTGGAGGATTTTGTAATTCAAGCAGGAGAGTGATAGATTTTGCCTTGGTCTTCCTGCCATTTTCCTTGTGATCTCTCTCTTTCTCACACACACACACCACATTTATGTGATCATCAGTATCTGGGAAACGTAGAGATTTCAGGACCTGGATTGTATCACTGGTTAGATCTGACCTCCTTTTCTAATCTGTTCTTCCTAGATCCTGACTGGGCAGATAGCCCCTCTGATTCTTCCTCGGAATCTATGGTGTCCTCGCAGCCTGTGGCAGCTGACACAGGAGCAGCAGTGTGGGATCGTCCCAACTCAGATGCCTCCTGCCCCACCACAGATAAGAACTGGGCCTCATTTGCAGAACCCCATATACAGCAAGAGAGGTGAGGCCTTGGAAGGCTTAACCTGTTTAAGACCAGCTGGATGTTCAGAGCAGGAGACTATTTGGGCGTCGGAGGGAGATAATGAACCGGCCGAGCCATTGGAAGTCACTGGGGAGGCTGGTACTGAGGGAGATGGGTTTGAGGCATCAACACGTGAACAACTCTTGCTAAAGCATCTCTGACTGCCCATATGTTACTTGGCCAAGTTGAAGTTTCTTGTGTTAATATACAAAACCCTGGACAAGTTGGGTTCAGGATACCTTAAGGGCTGCCTGAGCCCTTATAGGCCAGCTTGTTCACCAAGATCATCTGAAGGAGCACCATTAGTTGACCCTGCATTACAGAGGCTTAACTGGCTTCAGTTGGAACTTGGGTTCCCAAACTGTGCTCCATGATCCACTAGCGTCCTGCGAGCCTCATTTGGGTGGTCCTGCAGCGTGGCTGTGAATTTGTGGTTGAAGACAGGAGATGGCACATTCATTGCATTACATATTCATATTGATTTTTCATTGTATTTTTATTGCTTTCTTTTAGTCCTTACATTGCATTACAATTTGAATTCTGTGGAATTTAAATCATTAATACAATAAAATGTAATCTGTAAGAAATAAAAGAAACTATGAAAATACAGTGAAAAATCAGCCGACATCTAGCATAGCACATTACAGTTGCTACAACAGGCAGAAAAATCATCAAGTAGCCATTTTCAAATGGTCGGTGGGAGGAAAAAAATGGGAACCAGGAATCAGTTCATTAATGTTTCCAGCCCCATGCTGTGGGACACTCTTCCAGCAGAGATTAGGTAGGCATTCAGCTTGTTGAATTTTCAGGTACGCAGCTATTTCAGCTTCCTTCGTTAGACAGTCATTTTAGTGATTATTTTGCATTTTTCCTATGTTATTTTGTTTTCTTGTACTTGCATATATTGTGCACAGCCTCGATATTTTACGAGTTGGAGGCATATAACTAAATTGAAATTAAAGACCCGACCCCCCCTTCTGATTTTATCCTTTTGGCCTCCAGGCCCCCCAAAGCACTTGTGGACCCTGCTTCCCCTGCAGCCCCCCCTCAGGAAGTGACGCAAAGCAATGTATCCACAGCAGGAGGTGAGTGGTGACCTACATCTTCTGAAACGGGATGGCATCCAGAATGTAAGGCGTTGCTTCTTTTCTCCCCTCCCACACAGCTATTCTTCTCCACACTCCTTGGCACCTGCTGGTTTGCGTACTGTGAAATGGTTTCCCTTACTGTTGCAAACATGTGAGCGCTCGAGCAACACATTTTCTAAGTTGCTCGCCCAAACGTCTCAGTCCCTCACCTCTGCCAAGTGATCTGCCCCTTTTGGAGGGCAAAGACATTTGGATTGTGCTTTAGGCAAACAGTTGGCCAGCCGGTACTTTCCATAGGATGGTAGCACTGGGACCCAGCTGCTGGCAGTTGGACTTCTGTGACCTAAATAAAATCTGTAGTTGGCTGCTCTTGCTCTGCCTTAATAGAAGTGGCTGCTCTAACCTAGGGCATGGCCCAGATGATGCCATTAACCTAAAGTACATTTCCTTCCTACCTACCTCAAATTGAAAAAATAAAGTTCTGGTGACCACAGCAGTCACCTCGTGCCTGGTTAGTGCTATAGGGCCCCAATTGGCTGGAAAACTTAAGGAGAGCAGGGGTCCTGGAGGAGGCATAGCTCCTATGGTCCTTGTTAGGCAACCAACCACCCATTCCTTCAGGTTTCTCCTTCCTCTCTCTTCCCCTCCCCTTTGTCAACGAGGGACTTCTGTCCTTCTCCACAAATGACTATAAGGCAACAGTAGCAATATTAACATAGAATAGCCCAGCGGTAGAGAGGGCGCAGTTCGGAGTAATGGACCCTTCCCTTAGCATCTCAGCAGTTGGTTAGGATGACAGAGCAACTTGCCCGTGTCTTTCCAGTGAGCTTCAAACCTTGAGCAAGGAGGGTTTTGGACCTGGGCTTCCCACATCACACCCATCTTTCTAACCTTTGCGCCACCCACTCTTCACCCTAAGCCACTTCCCCTGATGACCAGCCCACTGGGAGTTCAGGGAGTTCTTTTGTGCAGCTGTGGGAGTTTGCTGCCACCTAGTCGTGTGAGCTTCCTAATGACTATGGTGCCTTCTGCTTCACTACTGTGTGTCTCTAGTACATATGAAAGCGAGAACCCGGGGGGGGGGGGTAGGCGGTTTATGCCTGGAAGCTCAGAAATAGCAGCTCCGTAGAGGTGAGGTTTACAGCAGTTGAGAGGGGCTGGGCTTTCATACATCACCCTTTCTGAGCCTGTCTGCTGCCTCTGGACGTGATACACCCATCACCATTTACCCACTTACTATTGAACTTCTTTCCCTCTTTTTCTCCCCAACCCCACCCCTGCAGAAACCTCTAGTGTTCAACAGGAACCTCCCACTCCAGACACAGGCCCCCCAGAAGGGGGTGACCCACCAAATCCCGTCACCATGACAACAGTAGCCAGGTAAGATGGTTAGGTGTGATCCGTGACACAGATGGCTCTTGGTTCCCCTGAAAAGTTGCTAAGAAGAGGAGGAGTTTGGATTTGATATCCTGCTTTATCGCTACCTGAAGGAGTCTCAAAGCAGCTAACATTCTCCTTTCCCTTCCTCCCCCACAACAAACACTCTGTGAGGTGAGTGGGGCTGAGAAACTTCAAAGAAGTGTGACTGGCCCAAGGTCACCCAGCAGCTGCATGTGGAGGAGTGGAGACGCGAACCCGGTTCACCAGATTACGAGTCTACTGCTCTTAACCACTACACCACACTGGAACCCAATTTTTAAGATGAATAAGTACACTAATATCAACAAAATGCTCCAAAAGTCACCAGGTATATTGGAAGAGTATTAAAATATATTTATCTGTGTGTAGACACGTGTGTAAAAACACACACACACAGTCTAGTTGGTGGAGTTAAAACATTTTTTAAAATAACCAACCTTTGACATTGATGGTCACCGTGGTAAATGTTACTCTGCGCTCTAGCAAGCAGAACACATGGATCTTGTAATGATCCTACTTCCGAAAAACAAAAGAGAAAGGAACCACAACCCCAGGCTTGGGTGGCATGGCAAACCAGGCCACTTTTTTTTCCAGCAGCATGGCAGGGGCAGGGATTTCAGCAACAGGCACCAGCCTCCTGCTCATTCACATTAAACCATAGATTGCTGTAACATGTGAACCACCAGACTGTTACAGATCTGGGAGCTTGTCCCTTTTAAAGCGGGTGATTTTGAAGCTTTCCTTTTCAGTCAGGCTTTTCGTGACTAGGACTTAGGGAAGAAGAGAGAAGGAATTGTCTTGTTATGCTGGCTCTGATTTTTATCTGGTCCTTTTTTGTTGCGCTATCTACACTGTTGAATTTGAACTGTATTCCACTGGGAGAATTATTTGTGATTTGAAAAGCAGGTTAAGATGGACCTAGGGAATAAATACATCACATATTAGAGGGCTGCAACCTTGAAAGGCTGGTATGAAGGAAAATTTGCCTCTTAATCTGGCTTGAGGGGATAGGGCAGAGGTTATTGACACCTTGTCAGTATCCTTTTGCAGTTCTTTACAGTGGTGCCTCGCAAGACGAAATTAATCCGTTCCGCGAGTCTCTCCGTCTTGCGGTTTTTTCGTCTTGCGAAGCACGGCTATTAGCGGCTTAGCGGCTATTAGCGGATTAGCGGCTATTAACGGCTTAGCAGCTTTAAGAAAAAGGAAACAAACTTGCAAGAACTCGCAAGACGTTTCGTCTTGCGAAGCAAGCCCATAGGGAAATTCGTCTTGCGGAACGACTCAAAAAACGGAAAACTCTTTCGTCTAGCGAGTTTTTCGTCTTGCGAGGCATTCGTCTTGCGGGGCACCACTGTATTCCCTTTCAGTAGTATTCCCAGGGAACCAGGGTGGATTTAAATCACTAGTCAGTAAGACTTGATTTAAATCATTTATTACAGAAAGAATCATTCTTGTTGGTATAATCTTAATATTTACAACCAGGTGAAGGTTTTATTTTTGGAATAATAAATTTTCAGAGTAGTTTTTACAGTTATATGAAAAATTACTGGTTTGGTTATACTATTAGAAATACATAGATAATTATGAAATTATTGTGAGATTTAATAAGATAACGGTTTATATTTGGACAACTTTTCTGCTGTACTTTATTGGAAGGAGGAAAATAATCATTTCCTTAGTAACAATTTAACTAAAACAATATTATAGTATATGTATCCATGTTTGTTAACTGATGTTGTTAAACATTTATTTCTTTAAACAGACTGAGTTTTAGCACACATGAAAAACTTTAAACAAATCCTTATTTCCTGATGAATAGCCTTTGGACTATAATGTAACTTAAATAGAAAGCTATCTTTAGGAAGATTTTTCCTCCAAAAGCATTTTATTTTAAAAATCCAATTTAAATCAAAAACATTTGATTTAATATTTTTTTAAATCAATTTTTTTTAATCAAAAAAATCATTGATTTTTATCCACCCTGCTGGAAACCATTAATTTCTGCAGGAGAAACACAGCAACAAAACAGATATAGAGGCCATATTCCTTATGTGATGATCTCTCTCTCACACACACTCCACATTTACGTGATCTTCAGTATCTGGGAACGGTAGAGATTTCAAGACCTGGATTGTATCACTGGTTAGATCTGACCTGCTTTTCTAATCTGATTGTGAGAACAGTGTGTGTCATGTGAAATTTGACACTCCTTTCCAACATGTGCGTGGTGTGATCAGGCCACGGCTTCACTCCTACTCTGCCACCAGTTCCCTCTTGTCTTTCCTCAGCAGCACAGTAGAGCCTCCCCCAACTACCTCTGATTCCGCCCAGCCGCTCCAGGGGACAACAGAGACTCCACAACCCCAGCACAGCAGCTCCCAACAGACAGAAGAGCAGCAGCAGCCGGCAGCCAGGTGAGGAGGGACTGTAGGTAAGAGGAGATGAGCCTGCAAACTGCTCATTGCTCTGCCTGCCAGGATGTAGGAAGGATGGCATCTGGGAACCAGGATATGGGTTGGGAGTCCTTGGCTCATGGAAGAGGGTGGGATTCCCCTACAGAACCTCTCTTCTGCTTCGGACGTCGTGAGAACGAGAAGCTCGTTCTTGCTTTTTAATACTGAAAGAAGATGCTGAATTCCGCACGTGATGTAAAACTCCTGGATTGTGCAGCTAGCTGCTCCTTCCCTCCTGCGGGAATGCCCTCATTCCTCTGTGTATAAGCTGTAGACGAAATAGTTAATATGCACTCACACCCCGTCCTTGTCTTTCCCCAGATAAAGCCTCTCCGTGGGTCTCGTCACTGGGGAAGGCCCACAGCTGCTTGCTCGAACAAGTCCATTTTGCCAGGGACTGTTCCCAGTCCTTCCGGTGCCTTCACCCCTGTGGGCAGGTGGGGGAGGGGGCAGAAGAGAAAGCAGCAAGGGGCAGCGAAAGAGCCCAGCCTCTCCCCCTATCCCACCCCGAGCAATCACGGAAGAAACCAGGACCTGGTACCGACGAGCACCTGCGAGAGAAACGGATGTGCGTCCCAAGCGCAAAAGCATCTTCCTCCTCCTGGCCCGTTGGTTGGCACAGCCCAGCAAGAGTGCCTCTCCCCCAGGAATTCTGCAGGGCGGGGGGGATCCGTCTCTCCTCCTTTGGCCTCTTTCCCCTACGAAACCCCCCCCCCGCCCCGCCCTCCCAGTATGCATACGTACACACTGCTGCACTGAGCAAAACCTGTCTGTTTTGATGCAATTAAATTTTATGCTTATATCGTACCAGAGGTCTTCTGATGGGGGGGTAACACTGAACAGGGCGGGGAGAAAAAACCCCATCAAGCAACAATCTCGCCACTGTTTTGAGGGCTCTTCCTCTACCTGACAGCCACACCTGCAAGCACAAGTCTGCCACAGCTCCTCTCTCCTCAGCCCCCATCTCCAAATTTGCCCACAGGGTGGCAGGTCAGATTAGCATGGCAGAATTATCTCACAGGGTAAAGAAGGATCAGGAGGTTGCCTAAAGCGGCTTCTCTGAAGACCGCTGCCTCAAGGTAGGGTTAGGAAGTGCAGTGAGGGGGGTGAGGTCGTGTGAGAGCTGTCCTTTCCTCGCTGGGATGAAATCGTGATATTTCTGCCCTCGTGACGCTTGTTTGAAGCTAATATCCAAGAGGAAGCAATGGGTGGCCAAGGAGAGGGAGGCAGAGCCAGCCTTCCCTGTCTCCTGACTGAAAATAGTTGCTTCCATTCCCTGCCTGCCTCCCCAAACATCGCCATCATTTAGGGTTCTTCAACCAGTGTACTCAGTGAAAAGAATTTTTAGGAGAGATGTGTGCGTACCACCATGTGAAATCTGGATTGACCCTAAAGTTTCCATCATTTTGTTTCTCCCGCTGTCAGCATACGTCCACCAGCTCACTGAGATTTAAGCTGGACCTCCTCCCAGTGGATTTTGCCTTCCCCACTCACTTTCCTTCCAGCATTGGTTTGTTTCCTTCTCACTATTAAAGAGCTCCACAGGAAGTCCACAGTCTCTCCCGCATATCCAAGCAGCAGCATGGTCAGGAGGGGAAGCGCAATACCCTGTCATAGCATCTTCCCTCCCATGGCAGTGGTTGTTGAAAAAAGACATGGGGGGGGGGAATGATACCCATGCCAGCAGCACGTGTTCTATAGTTGGTTTTGGAAATGATCCTTAGCCCTAAGCAGCCCCATTGTGATTTTAGAAACCCCACCAGTCTCCAACAGGGAGTTTGTCCATGAATATTGGCTTGTCCTTCCGCTTCATTGTGGCTGATCGACAGACACCAGCTGCACATTAACAGATAAAAGAGTTGGTGGCTGCATTTTGGCCCACGTCCTCGCTGCTCCTAACTGCAGCAACGAAATATGGATCCAAATATTGCAATCTTTTCCCTCGGGAGTCATCAGAAAGGGAGAGGGTTTCTTTCTCTGGGGTTATGCGGTGGGATTCACCTTGCAGAACTACAGTAAGTACATTGTAGAAAAGTAACTTTAGACCCCCAGTTTATTCCTCCTGCATCCCTGAATCTGTTTGGGTTGTGTGGGTGGGGTTTTCTGCCCCCCTCCACCTACTTAAAACCAAATTCTCCTGCCTCTTTGAGAGTTCTGGCTCAAAGTCCTGCACTTAACAACACAAAAGACCAAAATGACCCTGGTAGAATACCCTAGGGACCTATCATGCAGCCTCCCCTTCTCCATAATCCTTGTTCCAAAGAGAAATGCCCTCCTGCTTCCAAGTTACACTCCCTTGAAGTCCAAGGAGCTCTTATTCTTACTCCAACCAGATCCTGCTCCTCTTCTCTTGGGGCTCCTAGAAACAGGATTTTCCACCAAAGGCCTCAGAATTACTGCTTTTTTCCTCTCTCTTCTGGCCTCCCATCCAGCTGTTGACGTGCTTTGGACTTTTCTGTAGCTCCTTTTTCTAGTGTTTAAAGGAAAAACGAAATCTCACTGCCTCACCCTTGCCTCTGACTACAGAATTGGGACAAGAGCATTGCAAAAAAGTTCAGCCAAGAACACCTTGAGATTTGGAAGGGTACATAACGCCAGTGCCCGTGGGGCTCGGTGTATGTGTGAAGGTGGCAAGAAGATCTAATATCAAGGTTTGTAGAGGTCTGATTCGGGACATTGAGCGTGGTAGGAAGCGAAGTCACGGTGGAGGGACCTTTCACTTGCGCAAGCACTAAGCACCCTTCACCCCACCTCTTTACTTCCAGGTGGTCAGTAAACTTGTACTCCTTCCCCATCTCTCCCTTTCCTCTTTCTCCCACCCCCATATAAGGGGCAATATTTCTTGAAGCTCTTAAACCACAAAGGACAGAAGTGGCCTTTCGCGTCGTCTGCGTCATGCCATGTTCATGCCATGTCAGTAATTTCTTTTTTTCTTTTTCCCTCTGTGTGTGTATGTGAGTGTTCTGTTTGAATAAAGAGATTCTATGGCCGTAATAGACTTGGCTCTCTGCGTTTTTCTACGAAATAATAGTTCCTTAGCTGCCTCCTCCCGCTCTGTGTGTCACCCCCCCAAACCCCCCACCACCACCATTGTTAAGCGTCCTGACGTTACAGAATGGACTATACTACCAATATAGGAAACCACCTTGGAAGGAGTTATTTTACTTATTACCACCTTTTTCTTCCAAGGTGCTCAGAGTGATGTACGTGGTACTCCTCCTCCTCATTTCATTCTCACAACAAACTTGCGAGGTAGGTTAGGCTCAAAGATGGTGACTGGCCCAAGGTCACCCAGGGAGCTTCATGGCTGAGTGGGGATTCGAACCCTGTTTGCCCAGGTCCTAGTCCAACACACTGGACCACTGGTCATTAAAACTCAGTATTGTCTACACCAGCTTTTCCTAAACATCTGTAGTCCAAAACATCTGGAAGGCAGGCTGAAGACGCCTGGTCTGCACTGGCTGGCAGTGGCTTCCCATGGTTTCAGAAAAGTACCTGCCACTTCAAAAGAGGCAGTGGTGTGTCCACTCCTTCAAACACACACACACACACACACACACACACACACACACACACACCTGGACCCTCTATGTTGGTTATCAGCCAGTTACTAATATACCTTTTGGGAGAAGGTGATGGAGACGATGGTGGCCGAGCAACTGCAGGCATTCTTAGATGAAACTGTTTATTTAGATCCATTTCAGTCTGGTTTGGGGACTGAATCAGCCTTGTTTGCCCTGGTGAATGATCCCCATAGGGAGAAGGACAAGGGGAGAGCAACCTTGCTGCGCTCTCTGGCTTTTGACACTATCAACCATGGAATCCTAGATGGGCTCTGTGAGATGCGTGTTGGGAGAGGCACTGTTTTAAGTGCTTCCAGTCCTACCTGCAAGGTTGGTTCCAGGGAATGGCACTGTGGGAATGCCCCTTGCCCCCTTGGCATTTCTGTTGTGGGCTGCTGCCACAGGGCACAGTTTCCCCCCCAGTGCTATTTAACAACTATACGAAGGCATGTGGAGCGGTTATTAGGAGATACGAAGCTAAGTTTTCCAGTTGAGTTGGTTTTACTGTTCTTGGAGTTTTCGTTTGTGTGTTCTGTCCTGCTTTTGCCATGTACACTGAAGGCTCTGCTGTGAAGCAATCTCTGCATTTGTTTAATATAAACAGTAATAAATCCTACCTGGATATGCTGGGGATTAAACCGGAGACCTACTGCAAGCAGAGCAAATGCTCCACCGCTGAGTTACGGACTTTCTTCGGAGTCCAGGTGGAGGATTCCAGTTTTGAATGGTTTTATTATGCAGATAACTCATTGCTGGTAGACATCAAGCAGTGCAAGGAATAGGCTGGGCTAGGAACATCTTCCCTAATGTTCTAGCTTTTTATCTGAGGGGTTGGTTGGTTGGTTGGTTGGTTGGTTGGTTGGTTGGTTGGTTTTGCAGCAAAGGAACATTTTTAAAAAATAGCTCCCCTTTTTTTCAACCTGAAATGGTCAAGTCTACACTACATAGACATAGCTGCAAATGATTTGTTCTCTGCCATAAGAGCCCATGGTCTTCGAGGCAGGTGCAGGTGGTGGCTTTGCCAGGAAGAAAAGGGGTCTGGGTAGAGATTGTAGCTTGGATACTGGAGGCTTAAATCAAAAGTAGCAAAAGCCAAGAGCCTACCACCTTTCCCAAAATCTCTTTGCTATTTCTTTGGATGGAGAGGACATCCCATGGGAGGTGATGCCATCCGCTGGAGTCGTAGCATAAGAACCACAGAATAATTGATTTGAGCGGACAAACTAAAACATAATTGAGTGTCCCAGTAGGCAAGCAGCCAGGTAGTCCTGAGGGGCATTCAGTAAATGGGGTGCCACCACAGGAAAGGCCTTGTCTCTGATCTGTACATTTCTGTGCTTTGAACAATAGATACACACACATACACACCATTAAAATTCCATCTATCCGGCAAGGAGCTCAAGGTGGCAAACATGATTGTCTTCCCCCTGTCCTCAGAAAAACCTTGCGAGGTAAGTTAAATAGATCACCAGTGGTCCAAGTTTACCTGGTGATCTTCACGGCTACATAGACTTTCCAAGTCTGAATTCTGCAGCCCTAAACTCAGTTCACACCAATGGGGGTGCTGTGCATACATGCCACATCGCAAAGGAGCAAGCAATGCCTTCCCCAAGGAACCAAAGTCAAAGAAACAAAATTCCATTGCTCTTTACTTTGACAGAGGATTGGGTGGAGCAGTCCTCTTAAACTGGAGCAAGTCTTTGGAGATCATCCAAAGAGATATAAAACTCTGTCTCTTTGGATTACACAATTAGGCACTGGGTTTTGCTGGTTTGCTGCTATTTCCTAGTAGCACATCCTAGGTGCTGTATGGTAAGTGCTGCCTTTGGGCAGTAGGCTAGGCTCTGTTAGCTGCACTGGAGTCAGCTACATTTCCCCCCTTTTTTTTACTTTTCATGTTTATACATTTCACTAATTTTATACATTTCACCAATTTTACAATCATTTTGATATTTCAAAAATTGACTTTCTTCGCCCTCTTTCTGTGGTTCCTTCAGTTTGTTTTTAATATCTTCTGCATATCCAAATTAACTTACGGTAATTTACTCCTTTATTCATCTTCTTTAAATATATACTCTTATAAAACTGCAGGTTATTACAATAATCCTGCCAATGTTTTTATCTGTTTATAATTTATCTGTCAATATTCTTTTTTCCCCCCAAAGATATTTATTAAGATTTTCAAAATATTACAAAAGAAAAAAAGAAAAAAAATACAAAATAAAAATAGTTAAAAAACAATTCAGTTTTTCAATCACTTATCTTTCATTTGCTTATTTCCCGGACCTCCTCACACCTCCCTTTTCTGTATTCCAATTCAGTTTGTTAGTTCAGCAAATCCCTCCCCTCTTTATTTATCCTAATCTTCAATCTTAAAGTATTGTAACATTAGATTTTTACCTATTAATAGTCCATTTTTTCATACTCCCTTATAACATTACAGCTAGAAACCACTTAGTTTCTATCCAACATCATTCTAATATTCATTAATTTTACAGTATTTCTGTAAATAGTCTTTAAACTTTTTCCAATCTTCTTCCACCGACTCTTCTCCCTGGTCTCGGATTCTGCCAGTCATTTCTGCCAGTTCCATATAGTGCATCATCTTCATCTGCCATTCTTCCAAGGTGGGTAGATCTTGTGTCTTCCAATACTTTGCAATAAGTATTCTTGCTGCTGTTGTGGCATACATAAAGAAAGTCCTATCCTTCTTTGGCACCAATTGGCCGACTATGCCCAACAGGAAGGCCTCTGGTTTCTTTAGAAAGGTATATTTAAATACCTTTTTCAGTTCATTATAGATCATCTCCCAGAAAGCCTTGATCTTTGGGCACGTCCACCAAAGGTGAAAGAATGTACCTTCATTTTCCTTACATTTCCAGCATTTATTATCGGGCAAATGATAGATTTTTGCAAGCTTGACTGGTGTCATGTACCACCTGTATATCATTTTCATAATATTATCTCTTAGGGCATTACATGCCGTAAATTTCATACCTGTGGTCCACAACTGTTCCCAGTCAGCAAACATAATGTTATGTCCAACATCTTGTGCCCATTTAATCATAGCAGATTTCACCGTTTCATCCTGAGTATTCCATTTCAACAGCAAGTTATACATCTTTGACAGAATCTTAGTTTTGGGTTCTAACAGTTCTGTTTCTAATTTTGATTTTTCCACCTGGAAGCCAATTTTCTTGTCCAAATTGTATGCCTCCATTATCTGATAATAATGAAGCCAGTCTCGCACTTTGTCTTTTAATTTCTCAAAACTCTGCAATTTCAATTTGTCTCCTTCTTGTTCCAAAATTTCCCAATATTTCGGCCATTTGGCCTCCATATTGAGCTTTTTCTGAGCCTTTGCTTCCATTGGTGACAACCACCTTGGGGTTTTATTTTCAAGTAAGTCCTTATATCTTATCCAGACATTTAACAATGCTTTCCTAACAATATGGTTTTTAAATGCTTTATGTGCTTTAACCTTGTCATACCACAAATATGCATGCCACCCAAAAACATTATTGAAACCTTCTAAATCCAAAATGTCTGTGTTCTCGAGAAGCAGCCATTCTTTCAACCAGCAGAATGCTGCTGATTCATAATAAAGTTTAAGGTCGGGCAGGGCAAATCCACCTCTATCCTTTGCATCAGTTAATATTTTAAATTTTATTCTGGGCTTCTTGCCCTGCCAGACAAATCTAGAAATGTCTCTCTGCCACTTCTTGAAACAGTCCACTTTGTCCAAGATTTGCAATGATTGAAACAAAAATAACATTCTTGGCAATACATTCATCTTTATAACAGCACTTCGACCTAGCAAGGAAAGCTTCAAGTTTGACCATATCTCTAGGTCCTTTTTCACTTCTGACCAACATTTCTCATAATTGTCTTTAAGTAGATTTAAGTTCTTAGCAGTCATATTAACCCCCAGGTATTTTACTTTCTTAACCAATGTTAAACCTGTCTCCTTCTGAAACCTCTCTTTCTCAATCGATGTTAAATTTTTCTCAAGCACCTTAGTTTTTAACTTGTTCAACTTAAATCCTGCCACATGACCAAATTCCTGAATCAATTCTAATACTCTTTTAGTACTAGATTCTGGCTCCTGTAACGTCAATACTAAATCATCTGCAAAAGCTTTCAATTTGTACTGTTTGGCTCCGACCTGCATACCTTTGATCAGACGGTCCCTTCTGATCATATTTAGCAGAACCTCCAGGACCGAAATAAAAAGCAATGGGGAAATAATTAATTTCTAATTTATCTGTCAATATTCAATAAACCATTTCCATTCTTTTATAAACAAAAATTTGTTATCTTGATTTTTTTATTCATCCAGTAAGTTTCACTATTTCTTCATATTCCATAAGTTTTTGTTTCCATTCTTCCTTTGCTTGGACTTCTGCTTCTTTCCATTTTGGAGCGAGTAACATTC